CATACAGTGACAGTCACACTCACACAGTCAGTCAGACTCATACAGTCAGTCAGACTCGCACAGTCACACTCACACACTCAGTCACACTCACACAGTCAGTCAGACTCGCAGTCACACTCACACAGTCAGTCACACTCACAGTCAGTCAGACTCATACAGTGCCAGTCACACTCACACAGTCAGTCAGACTCATACAGTGACAGTTAAACTCACACACACAGTCAGTCAGACTCATACAGTGACAGTCAAACTCACACAGTCAGACTCACAGTCACAGTCAGTCAGACTCACAGTCACAGTCAGTCAGACTCATACAGTGACAGTTAAACTCACTCACACAGTCAGTCAGACTCATACAGTGACAGTCAAACTCACACTCACACAGTCAGACTCACAGTCACAGTCAGTCAGACTCATACAGTGACAGTCAAACTCACACTCACACAGTCAGTTAGACTCGCAGTCACTCAGACTGTCCTACAGACACTCAGACTCTCGCACAGTCACTCAGACTCTCCTACAGACACTCAGACTCTCGCAGTCACTCAGACTCTCGCACAGTCACTCAGATTCTCCTACAGTCACTCAGACTCTCCTACAGTCACTCAGACTCTCGCAGTCACTCAGACTCTCGCACAGGGGCGGCAGTGGCTCAGTGGTTCATGTGGGTTGTCTACAAACCGGAAGGTTGGTGGTTCAATCCTCGGTTCCACCTGACCAAGTGTCGAGGTGTCCATGAGCAAGACACCTAACCCCAGCTGCTCCTGACGAGCTGTATGGCGCCTTGCATGGCTGCCGTCGCCCGTCGGTGTATGAATGAGTGAGTGAATGGGTGAATGTGAGGCAAATTGTAAAGCGCTTTGGTGGCCATTGGGTCTGTGAAAGCGCTATATAAATGCAGTCCATTTACCATTACCATTACCGTCACTCAGACTCTCGCACAGTCACACTCACACAGTCAGTCAGTGGCCATTGGGTGGCCATTGGGTCTGTGAAAGCGCTATATAAATGCAGTCCATTTACCATTACCATTACAGTCACTCAGACTCTCGCACAGTCAGTCAGACTCACAGTCTGACTGTGTGAGTTTTGACAGACTCACACTCACACAGTGAGTCAGACAGTGACAGTCACAGTCACTCAGACACACAGTCACTCACAGTCAGTCAGACTCACACAGTTACACTCACACAGTCAGTCAGACTCATACAGTGACAGTCAAACTCACACTCACACAGTCAGACTCACAGTCACAGTCAGTCAGACTCATACAGTGACAGTCAAACTCACACAGTCAGTCAGACTCATACATTGACAGTCACACTCACACAGTCAGACTCACAATCACAGTCACACTTGCAGTCACTCACAGTCACTCAGACTCGCAGTCACACTCGCAGTCACTCACACTCGCACAGTCACTCAGACTCGCAGTCACACTCTGTCACTCAGACTCTCGCACAGTCACTCAGACACTCGCACAGTCACTCAGACTCTGCTACAGTCACTCAGACTCTGCTACAGTCACTCAGACTCTGCTACAGTCACTCAGACTCTCGCACAGTCACTCAGACTCTCTTACAGTCACTCAGACTCTCCTACAGTCACTCAGACTCTCGCACAGTTACTCAGACTCTCACAGTCACACTCGCACAGTCAGTCACACTCGCACAGTCAGTCAGACTCGCACAGTCAGTCAGACTCGCACAGTCACACTCACAGTCAGTCAGACTCGCACAGTTACACTCACACAGTCAGTCAGACTCGCACAGTCACACTCACACAGTCAGTCAGACTCACAGTCACTCAGACTCGCACAGTCACACAGTCAGTCAGACTCGCAGTCACTCAGACTCGCACAGTCACACTCACACAGTCAGTCAGACTCGCACAGTCACACTCACACAGTCAGTCAGACTCGCAGTCACTCAGACTCGCACAGTCACACTCACACAGTCAGTCAGACTCGCACAGTCACTCAGACTCGCACAGTCACACTCACAGTCAGTCAGACTCATACAGTGACAGTCACACTCAGTCAGACTCATACAGTGACAGTCACACTCAGTCAGACTCATACAGTGACAGTCACACTCACACAGTCAGTCAGACTCGCACAGTCACACTCACACAGTCAGTCAGACTCACACAGTCAGTCAGACTCACACAGTCAGTCAGACTCACAGTCAGTCAGACTCATACAGTGACAGTCAAACTCACACACACACAGTCAGTCAGACTCATACAGTGACAGTCACACTCACACAGTCAGTCAGACTCGCACAGTCACACTCACACAGTCAGTCAGACTCGCACAGTCACACTCACACAGTCAGTCAGACTCACACAGTCAGTCAGACTCACACAGTCAGTCAGACTCACACAGTCAGTCACACTCACACAGTCAGTCACACTCACAGTCAGTCAGACTCATACAGTGACAGTCAAACTCACTCACACAGTCAGTCAGACTCATACAGTGACAGTCAAACTCACACTCACACAGTCAGACTCACAATCACAGACAGTCAGACTCATACAGTGACAGTCAAACTCACACTCACACAGTCAGTCAGACTCATACAGTGACAGCCAAACTCACTCACACAGTCAGACTCACAATCACGGTCACACTCACAGTCACTCAGACTCGCACAGTCACACTCGCAGTCACTCAGACTCGCACAGTCCAGACTCGCACAGTCACACTCGCAGTCACTCAGACTCGCACAGTCACTCACACTCACAGTCACACTCGCAGTCACTCGCACTCACACAGTCACAGTCACAGTCACACAGTCACAGTCACACAGTCACACAGTCACACAGTCACACAGTCACACAGTCACACAGTCACACTCGCACAGTCACTCACACTCGCACAGTCACTCACACTCGCACAGTCACTCACACTCGCAGTCACTCAGACTCGCAGTCACTCAGACTCGCAGTCACTCAGACTCGCAGTCACTCAGACTCGCAGTCACTCAGACTCAGACTCGCAGTCACTCAGACTCAGACTCGCAGTCACTCAGACTCGCAGTCACTCAGACTCGCAGTCACTCAGACTCACACAGTGTGGGCCCTATTTTAACGATCTGAAACGCAAGTGTCAAAGCGCAAAGCGCAAGTAACTTTGTGGGCGGATCCCAGCGCTGTTGCTATTTTCCCGGCGGGATAAATGCCTCTTGCACCTGGCGCAAATCTAAAAAGGGGTTGGTCTGAAGTAGCTTCATTATTCATAGGTGGGGTTTGGGCGTAACGTGAAATAAACCAATCAGAGCGTCATCTCACATTCCCTTTAAGAGCAGGCGCGCTTGTTCTAAAGCGGATTCCTATTATAACGGCGGATTTGCCAGGCGCGCGACAGGAGCGGTTCACAGCCGAGGAGAGCAACGTTCTCGTCAGGGCCGTAAAACACAGAGAAGTGACATTGGGGATGGAGAAACCCACCCAAATTAACTTCTGTTAAACAGGCGTATGATAATTTGGGTAAATGTGTAAGCTACATGTATGCTTTTATAATAAATTGTCTATCTATCTATCTATCTATCTATCTATCTATCTATCTATCTATCTATCTATCTATCTATATATCGTAATGATGTATGATTTGCAAAAATGAAAACTGCTGCTTAGATGAGAGAATCAACGTGTATGCGCGTTGTGCACCCGCTACATTGTGGCCAAGCATGCGCGCTTAAAATAGCATAATGAACAACGCGCAACACGCCACTGACTTTAGACTAGGTTTTTTCTGGTCAGTGGCGCAATTGTTTTATAGAACAGCAAAATAGCATGAGGGAAAGTTTGCGCCGGAACACGCCTCCTCTTTGCGCTGAACCGCCCCGGGGAGAGCAAGTGTATTTCTTAGTTAACCGACGTGCGTCTGTGGAGGGAAAAGTCCGCTTTGCGCGGGTGCAAAATAGGAATGATACATGCGTCAGTGTACAAAGTCATTTGCGCCGGGTGCAAGATAGGGCCCTGACAGTCACACTCACACAGTGACAGTCATACTCATCACACAGTCAGACTCATACAGTGACAGTCAAACTCACACTCACACAGTCAGACTCACAATCACAGTCACAGTCACACTCACACACTCAAACAGTCATTCTCACACATACCCGCCAGGGCGTGAGCGCAACTGTCTTTTAAAGGGAATGGGATACTACACTCTGATTGTTTTTTTGCACGTTACCCCCAAACACACCCATTACTCATTAAGAGAATAGGGACAACCCTTTTAGACCATACGCTGGGCGCGCCGACCGTTTTTCCCGTCGTTAAACTAGCAAAAGTGGATTCAGACACGCCCTAAGTACACTCAGACTCACACACTCAGACAGTCTCACACACTCACTCAGACACTCAGACTCACACACTCAGACAGTCTCACACACTCACTCAGACACTCAGACTCACACACTCAGACACTCAGACTCACACACTCAGATGCACAGTCAGACACGCACAGTCAGACTCACACACTCAGACAATCAGACTCACACTCAGACAGTCACACTCACAAACTCAGACTCACACACTCAGACTCACACACTCAGACTCACACACTCAGACTCACACACTCAGACTCACACACTCAGACTCACACACTCACTCACTCAGTCACACTCAGTCACACTCAGTCACACTCAGTCACACTCAGTCATACTCACACAGTCAGACTCACAAACTCAGACACTCAGAATCACAGTCAGACTCACACACTCAGACAATCACACTCACACAGTCACACTCACATACAGTCAAACTCACACACAGTCAAACTCACACACACTTACAGTTTACTATTTTTGTGGGAACTCTCCATAGACAATGGTTTTTATACTGTACAAACTGTATAGTTTCTCCCCTGACACTAACCCTACCCCTAAACCCACCCATCACACCAAACTTTCTCCATTTTCACTTTTTCAAAACACACACACACAAACACAAACACACACAAACACACGTTAGTGTTTGTTTTGTACCTGCAGTCGAATGAAGAGAGGTCTAGCATATGATGGCAGCTCTTTGAGGACAATATTGAATAGTTTCTCTCCATCAAACGTGCACTCGGGCCTCACAATCACTGCAGCCATTCCAGCACGGCCCTCATTTCCTGCACACAGAAACCCAGACGCTTTTTATCTTCCAATTAAATATCTTCAGATTAAACAGAGTCAAAGCTTGTAAAAAAATAATATACAAACAATCTAACAGACATTAACAGTCTAATGTTTCAGTATGGCTGAGTGATATAGTTAAAAAATGTACTTGCAATATTTATATATTGATTCCAAAAGAGTTTTTTTTTTTTCAATCATACAAAGCATTTTAAAGCATTTTAACAAAAGAGCTATAGCTAAAATAAGGGTTTTTGGCTCATGTGAAGTCTACAGTACCTGGCACCTGGACTCCATACACATTGACTTCCTGAATAAAATCTACCAGTCCCAGTATCTCTGTCACCTCAGTGGTCGCCACATTTTCACCCTTCCATCTGCAAACAACAGCAGTGTGCAAAATTGTTTAGTTTAATTTCATCAATAAGACCATGCTCATATGCATACATGCTTGATCACACATATTTCATCATGGTGACGACAAGCCTTCGAGGTCATGTGCTCCGCTCTACCTGAAAGTGTCTCCCACTCTGTCTTTGAAGCAGATGAAGTTTTCCTCGTCCTCAGCCATCAGGTCTCCAGTGTTGAAGTAAGCGTCTCCTTTGACAAACACGTTTCGCAGGATCTTCTTCTCTGTCAGCTGTTTGTTCCCGGCGTATCCGAAGAACGGACTCTGACTGCAGATCTTCGACAGCAGCAGCCCCGTCTCACCTGATCATCAACATACAAACACCACATTAGCAGAAAACAGCAACAATTGAGAAAAATTCAAGTCATCGTGTGTATTTACAGAATTATTATACATATTTCAGTGATTATGTGATCATGTCTACTGAGCCAGTCAACATGGCAAAATAACCCGGCTTTTATAACAAATAAAATAAAATAAAAACCTTTTATCAAAACTGCCATGGAGACTCTTTGATAACTTTACAAATTTATTAGGGAAAAAAGGTTCGGTCTTAAAACTGAAATATCACTGACAGAGATATTCTGACCCGAACACCTGCAATTTAGCTCAGCTGCATCTCTGAGATGTTTCTACACGTAGACTGGACTCTACTGGGGCAAATTCAATTGACTGGACATGATTTGGAAAGGCATTAAGGTCCGTTCACATTTACCATTGTTCTGCAAATTATCAGAACAACACTGGACCTCTCTCACTGAATCATGTGCTGAAACCATTTACATTTTACTCATTTAGCAGACGTTTTTACAGATTTTATCCAAAGCGACTGAAATCATCAGCTGTCAATGCAGTTCTCTTCCTTCACAACTCTTCATTCCTTCACATTGATAAGGAGAAGTTTGTGTGAACAGTTGGCAATAATTTCTGCAAACTCTGTTTTGAAGACGTTCAATTTCCAAGAGAGATTTATGTGACTGTTAAATTACACCTGTTGGTAACCCAGGAGAGTTTAATACTGCTGGCAAGTATGTGTTTTTCTCTTTTGTTCGTGTGCTGAGGCAGTTCCTGTCATGATGAAGCTGGGGTTGTTGTTTTTTTTCTTCTTAATTTTTCTATACTGACTGTTGCATGCAATCCTGAAATACAGTGAAAGGTTATGTGTTGTGAGAAAGCAATTTCGAGTTCGGGTCAGGTTTGGCAGGTTTGGTCTTAAAATTTACCAGCAGTAGGCTCGGGTCAAATGATCTTGGTATGGGTAAAGTTCAAGCTTCAGTTTAAGCCTGTGGAGACCTCCAAACTAAAGGTGTAAAAAGCCAAACTAATGTTTTGTCAGTAAATGACACTGGCTGGGCTGAATCTTTCTTCGGACGTTTCTGATGCTCTCACCTTTCTGAACATGCTGGCAGAATCCACTGTGGTCTCTCGCAGGCTCATCTCTGACCAGGTCATACTTCACCAGATCATACTTAAAAATCAACTGCAAAAACAAACAGAACACTCTGCGTTTCAGACAGCGTGATCCTATGGAGAAATATCAGCTGGATGACATCATCATTCAAACAGACGAGACTGATATGAACAAACACAACCTTCAGCATGAACGCTGAAAAATATTTCAAATTTAAGGACTAAACTCTATGCAGATCTTATATCTTTAAAAACATTTCTAAGATATATGTTTATTAATTATTTCCTCCCAATTAAATCTAATGAGATTGATATGTAGTTATCTTCATTGATTATAATTAGTGGTCAACCGATATTTATGATAACACACGGTTTAATTTAAAAGACAGTATGTCACACATGCACAATATTGCTGCAATAATATTATTATTTATTTGACATAATATTAACTACAATAATTTGAACTTGATAATCCTAAAAATAGATTTAAACATCTTGATTCTGTTGCATATGCATACAAAAAGATTTCTCTAATAAAGACGAGGCAATAATTATAATTACACAACATACAATTATACATACATGTCCAGTCACCTTTATTGTTGGTTGATCCTGACTTGTACACCTGTAACAATTATGCGAGTACTGTATGTGTGTGACATGTATCACACTAACATATTTTTAAGAATAGTATTTCGGATCTTGCATGCGCTCACATGAACGTTGTAAGCCATATTTTGGGAGGTTTTGTAATCTGAAGCATCTAAGAATAGCACGATGAGGATTACATGTCAATGCTTTTCCGCTCACACTGATCATGTATTATGGCAAACAGAATCATGATTAAGCAACAAGTTGACAATATGCCAAGAGATCATCACTCTTTATTTAGAGCCTCAGACAGGGAGCATCTCTCTGTGAGGAGTGTCAGTAATACTATTTCCTCTAGGGTACAAATAGTGTTTTGTTTATCTAGTTCTGGTATATTTGTTGCCATTTATATACACATACACACACACTATAAAGGACAAAACCACTTAATTCCTGAATTCCAATTGCAGACCCATTGCCACAGGTGTATTAAATCTTAGCCCTGCAGTCTGCATTTACAAGCATTTGTAAAAAAAATGGATTCGCTCTGAAGAGCTCAGTGAATTCAAGCGTGGGACTGTGATACAGAGTCCTGCACGGGTTCGGGTGACCCGCAAATTTTGCTCAAACGGGTGAAAAATATCCAACTGTGTCGGATACAGTCACATGCAAATGTAAAAATAAATGCATATTTTTAGGAACACATCTACAAAACTATGCCTGCCCTGTATTTCAAGTTGATAAAATATTTGTTTTTAGTTTATTTGAGCCTGCGCCCTCCCATGACTCTCTAGGCGTAACGTTACATTCACTTTTTAAAAATCACAACCACTCGAACTGCTGCATGAGTCTTCTATCTAGATGGATAGTGAGGAGTTGAAAAAAAAATAGCTAGAGGAGATTATAAAGTTGTCGACAATACTTCATCGAAACTCAAGACGGTGTATGTAGCGTTTAGGATTCGCATACAACTGGACTTTTCTTTCATTTAAAATTATCACATAGCCTACACTGTTGTTATTGTCTAATTTAAAACTGTTAAGTAGGCCAATGTGTGGTGTGCAATTGTCTGATGTGCTAGACGAAATTGCATTTTGTGGTAACGTTAGCCATGTTCTGTATAGGCTATCGGCTTTTTGACAGCTTCGGCTGTTGTCCTTGTCTTAAGGCAAGCCGCCAAAGGCAATAAAAATTTGAAAAAAGTGTCTATATTGGCTAAACTGATTTTATTTCGGGTGCGGGTCGGGTCTCGGTTCTATTTTAACCGGGTCGGGTCAGGTTGCGGATTTTAATTAGTGCTGCTGTCGGAAAACGGGTCGGATGCGGTTTTAAGCACTGCGGGTACGGGCGGGTCCGGATTTACAAAATCGGACCCGTGCAGCTCTCTGCTGTGATAGGATGCCAGCTTTGCAGTAAGTCAGTTTGCGAAATTTCTTCCCTGCTAGATATCCCATGCTCAACTGTAAGTGGTTTTATTGGTATTTATTGGAAAGCGGAAGCGTTTAAGAACAGCAGCAACTCGGCCCCGAAGCGGAGGACCATGAAAGTCACAGGTTGAACCGGTCATCGAGTGCTGAGGTGTATAGTGGGTAACAATCGGCAACGCTCTGCTGATCCCATTGACTTCCACTGGCATTGATATCAGCACAAAGCCTGTGCGGCGGGAGCTTCATGGAGTGGGTTTCCATGGCCGAGCAGCTGCATGCAATCCTCACATCACCAAGACGGAGTGGTGTGAAGCACAACATTGTTATATCGCGATATCTCAACAAAACAATGTATCGTTACACCCCTACTACCAACGCAATGTTGTTGGCATAGAAACCAATGCAGATATACCAGTAAACAAAAGAGCACCAGTTTTTGGCGTATGCCTGCCAACGCAGTGTCATTGTCATACCAATGCAGCACCGAGACAGACAAATCAGATCTGAAAAGTTGCGATACACAGCGTGGACAGTCGATCATTTAGATCAGATTCCTATCAGATACACAAATAATCTGATTTGGGCTGACCGTGTGTACATAGCCTAAATGCTTCAACACACCAAGACATTTTGGACAATGCTATGCTTCCAACTTTGTGGGACCAATTAGGGGAAGGCCCTTTTCTATTCAAGCATGACGGGGCACCAGTGCACAAAGCAAAGTGAATAAAGACATGGTTGGGTGAGTTTGGTGTGGAAGAACCTGATGACCCACACAGAGCCCTGAACTCAACCCCATCCAACACCTTTGGGATGAACTGAAACTGAGATTGCGAGCTAGGCCTTCTCATCCAACATCAATGTCGGACCTCACTTATGCTCTACTGGATGACTGGGCAAAAATTCCCACAGAAACACTAAAAACTTGCGGAAAGCTTTCACAGAAGAGTGGAAGCTGTTATAACAGAAAAGGGGGACCAACTCCATGTTAATGTCTATGTATCTAGAATGTGATGTCATTACAGTCCCTGTTGGTGTAGTGACCAGGTGTCCCAGTACTTATATAGTGTATATACTATACACTGGTGCTTGAACGTTTGTAAAGTCTTTAGTATTTTCTGTATTTCTGCATAAATGACCTAAAACATCATCAGATGTTCACGAAAGTCCTAAAAGTAGACAAAGAGGAACCCATTCAAACAAATGAGATAAACATATATACTTTGTCCACAAAACATTTCCCTAACAGCCCTCTGGCTTGTCCTCTTGATCTTTAGCAAACTGCAGACGGACAGCAATGTCCTTTTTGTAGATGTTGCAACTCTGCCATGCACACCATGTTCCCCTGATGGTGAACTCATGAACATCAACATCAGCCAACGTGAGCGAGGCCTTTAGTAGCTTAAAAGTTACCCGTGGATCCTTCGTGACCTCACAGACTATTACACGTCTCGCTTTTGGAGTGATCTTTGCTGGTCGACCACTCCAGGGGAAGGGACCAAGTGTCTTAAATTTCCTCCATTTGAACACGATCTGTCCGACTGTGGATTTGTGGAGTCCAAACTCTTCAGAGACGGTTTATAACCTTTTCCAGACTGATGAGCAACAACAGCTCTTTTTCTGAGGTTCTCAGAAATCTTTGTGAATTGCATGGGTTTAATTTTTAATACTTTAAACTGAATTGAAGTTGAACTCCAAGATTTCGAATGGATTTCTTGTCCATTAATAACCCAATACTGATAGTATTCAGGGTCTCTGCAGTGCAGAGTTTTGAAAATCAAATTCAAATTAATACCATATGTCCATACAGAACAAGAGTATCTCTTTGGGGTATCTCTTGACCCCCTCACACAAGCACTTATCAACATGTCTATTTTTGTTGCATCTCCAGTAATTAATTTTTGTTCAGTCTCATCTGTTTTTTGACTGTGCAAAAACGTGCTTAACTTAAGCTGAGCATACAGAGTACTCTTGTTTAGAAAAAGTGGACTGCGCACATGTGCACTGTACCATACACTGACTAGCGTATGCGTAAAACCTACAAAACCTATACTTTGAGCTTAATTTAGGAAAAACTTTAGACAGACAGCTTAATTTTCAGCCTGAACCAGCACATAGCTTTAAAACAAATAAACGCACTCAACAAGAACATCTTAAACACACAACACGGATGACATTACTGCTCTGGTGGTCATTGACCCTGGGTCTTTGACATCAAAGCAAAGAGATGCAAGAAATGAATTATGGCGCAGTTCCATGTTTGATGTTGAGACGCACCCCTATAGATCTAGTTTAAATATTTACTAAGACTTGCTTATCTTTTTGTTGCCCTTTAAACTTGACAATCATAAGCCCACGGTGAATTGAAGAGTTTCTGAACTGACCTTGTAAAAGAAATTGGAGCGTCCGACGGCTCCGACCTTGCCGAGGTGGTTCATGAAGCACAGGTTTCCTTCGGTGGAGCCGTAGATCTCACACATGCGGATCTCCCCGAAACGCCGGAGGAACTCTCTCCAAACGTCCTGCCGGAGACCGTTCCCAACACCCATGAGCACCCTGTGATCCTTCTCATTCTCTGCCTAACAGACACACAAAGCACATCAAGATGAAGCTTTTCACCATCAATTCTATTCATATTTATTTGTATAGCGCTTTTCACAATACACATCGTTTCAAAGCAGCTTTACGGAGTCCACATTACAATTTATCTGTTATCAGAGGTAACTGTCCAAGTTATGAATTTCAGAAATGTACATATAAAAATCACAGTTAAAAATTTATTCATTTAAACAATGCAATAGTTTAAGGCACACAGATCACTCAGACTCCTCAGACTCAGGTGAAAGAGTCTCTGTAGTCAGACTACAGAGATGCCTTGGATGCCCTGAGAAACCGGCAGAGTGCCATGCTTGAGGATTGAGTCCAGTGTGTAGTTAATGGGGGAAATGGTGTTTGACCATGCAGAGCTCACTACCACAAAGCTAGGGTGATCTGGGTGGTTTCTTAAGTCAAAAGAGCTCACTCTCTGGCTCGGGTCACTCCTTCGATGCAAGTCCAAGTGATTTTTACCTGCAGTGCTGCATTTCTCAGTAAGACCGTGTGTGGGTGAACAATGCGAGCCAGTCAGACCAGCAGAGCCACTCCATATTCACAACAGCCTCGTGGATGTGTGTGCTGTCAGTTAAAGCTCATCAATGAACTGACTAACAACATTTCCTGCTCTTACACGAGACATGTCCCATTATGAAAACTCATTCTGAATGTGGACGTTCCTGCTGCAGAATGTGTACTTTTGGTCTTACGGTAATGTTGTGTGTGTTTGCTAAGCTAGCACATCGGTGTAGGGACTGTCCGGGCCGTTAGAGGACGGGCACAAAGAGATCTTTGACAGACTCTGGGACACGCTGAACCGTGAATGAGAAACATTAACAAAAGAGCCGTCTGTCAGTTAGCCATGAAAACGCTACACAGCCCCACACAAACCGAAAAGTTTGTTTTCACTGATTCGCAGAGCACACGGTTACGTTCTTTGCAGAGTTTGTCTGCGTGACTGAAGACACACACGCTCTGCAGTGAGCTTCTGCGTACGGACCCTTCTGGAGTCCTGGGTCCGTGATCACAGTAATGAGGCATGACGCATAATGAAGACATTAATGTGGAACTAACAGGACCGTGGCGGGTCTTATTGTTATGAGATTATGTAATATATGCGCTTTCATTTACACAAACTAAAACCAAGCATTTATGATGTCAAAATGAACGACCTGAACTAGACACATCCTGAACTAGACAGCATCAAAAACAACACAAAGGGTCATACATGCATATGAGTCATGCTCAGAAAACAGCAGGAAAGGGATCGTTCGTCCAAAAGTAAACATTACGTCCTTATAGACTCACACGTATGTCGTTCCAAAACGTACTTTCTTCAGTGGAACACAAAAGAATAATTTCCATTAAACTTTCAAACTTTCTGTAACAGGGTTCAAATAAGTCAGAATTCAATTGCTACATATTTTTAGATATAATAATCAACCTGAGTTTTATACAGACATTTACATTTTTATATCACGTTTTTCAGCACATCATTTCTACTCCAATTTGTTGTTGAAATAAAAACATTTAAATTTGTTTTTATGACAGATTTATTCAAACACGCATTAAATAAAAGTGTATAAATACCAATTTTGCTGCAATTATCAGGCAAAATGGCAGCATTTTCTGAGCATGACCCACATCCTGCATATAGCCACACAGATTTACATGAGAAAACAGTGAAATGAGGTACTGTACCACAGGCTGATTGCACAGATATCGGCAAAGCTCTCCTATATACTGGAATATGGTGACATTGTGTTTCCTGCAGTCATTCCAGAACTGAGAGGCTGAAAACTTCTTCTTCAGGACACAGGTGGCACCTAGATGACAAAAGCACAGACACAGATATGAAACTGAACATTCATTCTGATGTGCCTAATAAGGCTGTTTTGGCGATGAACGTTACACAAGCATGATCCATACAGCTCATTAACATGCGCATTCTGTTCGGTTTTGGTGAAAGGGCAGAAAAATATTTTAGCAGCATTAGACAGCTCTTGTACTCAAAGCATCGTCTGTATTTAAAGGCTGAATTAATGAATGAAGGTATTAAGGAATGACCACACAAAATCACAAGCTTTGTCATTTATCCAAGGTCAAAAGAAAGCATTTCCATGATCATCTGAGGTCAAATGTAACCAGTGTACACGAACGATAACTTATAAAGATAAATGCACTATATCATTCATATATATTCATTTATTATAAGCATGCTGCAGTTTTGTCGTCTGTTGCCTTCAATGCGTGAGCTCTGTAAGCAGGATGGATTCTGATTGGCTGTTAATGTTTTTATCGTTCATCAGCTGGAAAAAATGGTTCTGAAATATCAGCATTTTATTATTATTAAATTATATTATTATTATTATTAAATATCAACATTTATTATTTCTATCGTTACAGTTGTGGTGTGGACTCTGCTATTCTTTTATATGTAAAACGCTGTGCAAAAGTCTTAGGCATGTTAGTATTTTCAACCAAAAAAAATGGTTTTAAGACTTTTGCTGCAGTGTGTCAGTAGGAATAATCAGTTTACATTTACAAACATTCCTTTTGCCATTCATGTAATAATCCAGTGATCTTTTTGAATGCACAAGTAGTCTGACAACAGCCGGTCTGATCAGATCTCACCATCACCGAGTCTGTGATTATTACATGAAGTAACAGAAACAACTGAGACAGACTAAATCCAGAAGAACTGCGGCAACGTCTCCAAGGCGCTTGAAGAAACCTTCCTGCAAACTACAGTACTGTGCAAAGTTTTAGGCACTTGTGTAAAAATGCTGTAAAGTGAGTGTGGCGAGCAGGACGAGGCCGAGGGCGTGAGTGATAATGAGCGACACCTGTGAGACGCACCGGTCTCGCATCTCTCACGGAGGAGCGGAGGCATAAAGGAGGAGCGACGACAGTGAAGACAGAGAGAGGAACAGGCCTGAACTTATGTTGTGTTTTGTTGGTGTTTTATTATGTGACAGCAGTCGTCCGTGAGGGGCTGCTGTCTTTTACTTTCATTTTGTATTTGTTTATTTTATTATTAAATTGTTGAATGTTCGCTCCTTCCCGCCTCCTTCTTCCCATAACAACGAACCCTGTACAGTGAGGATGCTTTCCAAAATAATGTCATAATAGATTTAATTTACCAATTAACTTCTATTAACAAAATCAAATCAATATTTGGTGTGATCACCATTTGCGTTTAAAACAGCTTTCGTCCAGGTACACTTGCAGATCATTTTTCAGGGAGCTTTACAGGAAGGTTTCTTCAAGCGTCTTGGAGACGTTGCCACGGTTCTTCTGGATTTAGACACAGGAGAATCGGTGTCATTCAGGAATAAGATCGGGTGGCTGTTTGAATCGAGATCGCCATCTTTTAATGATTCATTTACTGAGACATTTTTCTAAATATCTTCTTTTGTGTTCCACATTAGAAAGAAATGCATACAGGTTTAGAATGACATGACATGATCATATTTGGGTGACCCTTGAAGAGCAAGTCATAAACATTCTTTGACCCAATCTGTGTTTGGATTAGATGAAATGGATGTCATTAATTACCACAAGAAAGCATCAAGGTTTGCGATCCCCTACAGTTTTTTCACTAAAAGGTTTGATTAAGAGAATTACCCAATTCAATGGTCCCTCCAATGCCTACGAGCGAGGCTGCACTATGATACAGGGGGAGGGGCGTGTAGATGACATCACTTCCTGTCCCGCCATATGCCCAGAACCCAGCTGCCGCTTTCAGGGACTGCAAGTGTGTGATGACTGCAGCTTTGGGCAGCCCTGCAACACACAACATACCATGACAATACAGAAGAGTCTGGCTCCTACAGGCAGAAGATACAGTAATAACAACATAATCCACACTCTGAAAACATGGATCTTCACAAGTCAGTAGTCCCATGGTGCGTCCCAATTCGCATACTATCCGTCCTAAATGATATTTGCAAATAGAATTAGTACGTCCCAAATCGTAGTATGTTGAAATGAGTGTTCCTAAGAGACCCGGATGGTCTACTATTTCCAGTCAGAATCCGAAGTGCAGATCCGTACAAATTTTCTTTTATCCGATCGTGGTTGTATCTCTCTATTAGTGTTACTCGATCTTAGTGCTGCATTTGATACCATAGACCACAACATTCTTTTAAATAGATTCGAAAATTATGTTGGCATTAGCATGGTTTAAACCATACTTATCTGACCGTTATCAGTTTGTAGCAGTAAATGAAGAGATGTCTTATCGATCACAAGTTCAGTATGGCGTACCACAAGGCTCAGTACTAGGACCGCTGCTGTTCACTCTGTACATGCTACCCTTAGGAGATATCATTAGGAAGTATGGCATTAGTTTACACTGTTACACTGATGATACTCAGCTCTTTATCTCTTCGCGCCCCGACGAATCTTACAAATTCACAAAATTAACTGTTGTTAAAAATTTATTGGATGACTAGTAATTTCCTACTACTAAATTCTGAAAAGACAGAGATTATAATTATTGGGCAAAAAACTTCCACACGTAATAACCCAGAATACTGTCTAACACTTGATGGCTGCTCTGTCAAGTCTTCGTCGTCGGTTAGGAACCTGGGTGTGCTCTTTGATACCAATCTTTAATTTGGAAATCACGTGTCTAGTATCTGTAAAACTGCATTTTTCCATCTTAAAAATATATCTAAATTACGTCATTCTGTATGCGGTCAATGACAAATGCAGAACAATTAGTTCATTCGTTCATGACATCAAGACTAGATTATTGTAATGCTCTACTGGGTGGTTGCCCTGCACGCTTAATAAACAAACAACAGCTGGTCCAAAAAGCAGCCGCTCGAGATCTTACCAGAACCAGGAAATATGACCATATTAGCCCGGTTCTGTCAACACTGCATTGGCTCCATATTAAACATTGTAAGTAATCAGCAATATATATTTTTTAATTTATACAAAGCACTAAATGGTTTAGCTCCCCAGTACTTGAGTGAGCTCTTAACGCATTATAGTCCGTCACGTCTATTGCGATCTCAAAATTCCGGCCAGTTGATAATACCTAGAATATCAAAATCGACTGCAGGCAGTAGATCCTTTTCCTATTTAGCACCAAAACTTTGGAACAGTCTTCCTAACATTGTCCGGGAAGCAGACACACTCTTGTCAGTTCAATTCTAGACTAAAAACACATCTCTTCAACCTGGCATACACATAGAACATTATACATTTCTATTATTCAAATCAGTTAAATGATTATTAGGCTGCATAGATTAGGTCAGCCGGAACCGGGGACACTTCACACCCGATGTACATCATAAGAAGAATGGCATCTACGCTAATGTTAGTCTCTCTGTTCAGTCCGAGGTTTACTGAAGTCAGCCGTATCCGGGCCGTATCCAGATCTGATGGAGGACCTGCGCCTGCACACGTCCACAACGCATCACTGCAGTGCCAGCCTCATCAGCCCTGTGAAGGCCTCATGGACACGACAGCCATCGGCACTGATCCTCAACACACTCCATACCGGCGTGACTCCGACCTCCAACCAGATGAACTGGATAATATTCTGATTGTTCTGATCCAATCTGACCAACCTCCATCAGTGACAGAATGGAGAATAAACCTTGGGAGAACCCAGACTCAGTCGCTCAGTTTTTTGTTCCTCTCCACTGTTGCCTTGGCTTTTGGCTCGTTTAGTTGGGGACATTTAATATTCAACAATATTATTATTCTACAAAACAAACTTTGTTGTATTATTTTCATGTTATCTCTGTGAAGCTGCTTTGATACAATCTGTATTGTAAAAGCGCTATATAAATAAAGGTGACTTGACACTCTAATGGCTAATATTGCCACAACCCATCGCGTGTTGGACGAAGATTTGATTAGAACTACAAACACGAGTAAAAAGTGTTAAAAGCCTACAGACATGGCGGATGTGCGAGTCCGGTGGTTGTGTAGAGAGGTTTAGATAAAGGGATTTGAGTGATTCATTAAAAGTATCTAACCTGACGAAAAAGTATTTATTCAATGTTGTCCACATCTGCAGCAGCATTGTGAACTTTTGTAAAGATACGTTTAGCCATTAACTTTTAAAAGCATTATTATATTCAAATTGCAAACACATGAGGAGAGTCTCTCCGCATGAAAGACCCACGACTGGCAGATCAACGTGCGACAACATTTCTCTCCGAAACGGTAGGACATTAAATTAGATTGAATGGAGGACTTTAATGGAGGACGAGATGATTGACAGGTGACAGGATGCACGTAACTAAGCGACAGAGAGCAATTGTTAAAGATGACGAAGTAGTATGTCCCAAAGCTTGCCTACTCTTCTGCTACACACTCAAAAGTATGTACTTTTTCTTCACAAAAACAGTACATACTTTTAGGGGGCGAATTGGGACGCAGCACCAGTCTCTGTCAGGCACGTGCGAAGGGCTTTGGGAACACTGAACCTGTTCATCAGGGTCTTTGAGATCTCCTGAAACACAGGGCTGTAGAACGGAGATGTCCTGAACTCATCACATACCGGTAGTGCCTGAGGTGAAGATGTAGAGCGTGGGGGTTTTGAGGCAGGTGACGGAGCGGCGCTCGGCTGGGACGGGCTCGTGTGAAGCGCTCTCCATCTGATCCAGCAGACTGTGCACATCAGGACGAGCGCCCGCTGCACTCAAACCCCACACGGACACACCGTCCTCCCGCAGACCTGGGAGAATCTCCTCCAGAGAGCCTAGAAGATCTGCAAGCACAATCACCATCAATGAAAATCTGTGTTTCAAACTATTAAAAGAAAAAAGAAACAAACAAAACGAGCAAATAAAAGAAAATATATAAAATATACAAACGAGCAAAAAAATAACAAAATAAATAAAAAACAATTTCAAAATAATACTCAACCCGTTCGAAAAACTAATAAATAATATGACACAAATTATAAATGATAAATGCTTACCCATTTATAGAAAACGTTTTACTTTTATTGTTTTACTTTATACATTGTATACCTTTAAATAGTATAATAAAACAAGGTTTCATTGTAATTTTACATTTAAGTACTGAGTAATAATAATACACTGCATTGGGTTAGGAATAGAGGTTGGTTTATGGTTAGTTGCATGGAATTGTTACTGTGGTTACAATTACTTATGAAAGATAGGCTATAATAGATTAAAATGTGAATATTTGAACATTGAGAATGTTTATAATGCACAGCTCGAGCAAAGCCTACTCAAACAGAACAGCCCAGCACCTGCAGACAGGTTACCAGGGTAATGGGTCAAGGATTAAAGGGTCGAAGGTCAATCTGGGGTTGTCAATCTGTCATCCTTCATTCTTTAAATTAAAACCGCAATTCGCTTATTAGCTATTTTGTGAGCATGTTTTATGTTTTTGTTAATCAGTTTATGTTTGCCAATTTATATTTATACATTAGGTAAAAACCACCTGTTTTAATGGTCTTTCGCCTGTGTTACTGTTAAAAGATCTAGTTATTTCGTTCGCTTACATAAGTAACACATTTGAGAGCATTGTCGTGTGGTTGTAAAGTGTCAGAAATGAGTTTACCTGCTCCGACCACCAGTAGTTTGGCTCCACAGCAGTTCAAGCAGTGCAGCAGTGATCTGGGCTTGATGTTGGTGTTGAGGAACGCCACGGCACAGCCCAGTTTGCAGAAGCCGAACCACACCGCGATGAAGTCGGGCTCGTTGCTCATGAGGAGCGCCACCGTGTCTCCCGTCCTCACCGCGTCCTGGAACACGCGCGCGACCCTGTTGCTGCGCGCCTCGAGCTCTCCATAGGTGTACGTTACTCCTTCATAAACCACAAAGGCTTTCTCGGGGATCCGCTGGGCTTGTTGAACAAACCTGTCTACGACCGTCACGACCCGCGAGGATCTTTTGTAGATCTCCAGACGCGCTCCGTACCGTATGACTTTCATTAAATACAAGGCGTCTTTCCAGAAGTGTGGAAAACACAAGCGCTGCGCGAGATGCGCGGAGAGGATTCCCGTCAGCAGAGCCGCGATCCATGACAACATCTCTGACAAACAAGCCTGACTCGGTCAAAGGGGTCTAACCGTTAACATTGTTAAACTGCTTCGGGTTGGGTTGTTTAATGGTTGTTATAAAACGCCGCACAGCACTGTCATCCTAATTTATGCAACGGTCAGGGTGTCACGTGACTGTTGTTGTACAACCGTGGGCGTGTCGTCGGGGCCACGCGCTCGGCCCTGATTATCAAGCTTACTACTATCATTGGAGTTACCATAGCAACAGGGCGTGGCGCATAGTCTAGTAGTGCCGCGCCCATAACAGCGACTCGGATGTTTTGTGGAATGTGTTCGAGAGCATGACGTAGATCCTTAAGCACGTGACTTTTGTTGGCTAACAAATTTAGTACAGAGTCACATATCATACACAGTAGCAATGTATACACAACAAATATAAAAAATGTCTTTGAAATAAACCATTAGCAGTTTAAAGTTTTTTTTCATGTTTTTAATATACAGTGGACGGGACTCTTACTGTTTACATTTGCATTTAATGTTTGATTTACGTAAGATTGTGGCGAATGTACTTTCTATAGCCTACTTCTTCCCCTCTGTACTGATTAGCTGCAGTAATATATTTATTTGAGTAAACTATTAATGTCTCTCTCAATACTTGGTCAGATTCGTGGACACACTGTTCAGGTGAAATGCCAGTTTCCTCTCTGTGTCAGTCTGTGTGTTACTTTGGACCATTCAGTTCTTTATGAAAGGCATTTTGTTCTCATCCACATGGGTTTTGTGTAACACTGGCCCAGGAAACTGCAGATCAGTCACTGAGAAGGAAGCATCTGTCAATGAGGAAACCGTGGATTTGAAATCGTTCAAAATGGAGTTCATCTGGAAGTCTAGCGCCATCATGTGGGCGTCTTCATTATTTCTGCATTACATGTGTACGTGTTATTAAACACAAAAGCCAATTGTTGTTTTTGTTTTCCATAGGATGAAGTAACTTGAACTGAGATATCTTAAATTATGTCAGTGCTATTGCTTTGTCTCAAGATTTACACCAGTGATGTTTTTTCTAAGGCACGTTTATAAAAGCAGCTTAAATGCCCTAATTGTTCTAAAGCCTAATCCTGGCTTAATCTAAACCCTGTCTGTGAAACCAGGGGCCTGTACCATGATGGTAGTTGAACAAACTCCGGTTACAGGATTAGTTTTGAGTTGACAAAACCAAACCAATCCCACCAGGCTTTGTTGGTACCATGATGCTGATCATCACCTCTCTCTGTCCGCTCAGGCTTTATCCTGAGTTTAGGAGTTCAGGTGTGAGTGCAAGTAAAAGTTGTTAGTTTATACAGTTGATAAAGGTATAGAGAGAATTGAACATTTAAACTCACACGTAGTCATTTTATAGCTTCATCTATGGATTCTAAAGCGTATTTGTTATATTTTATATATTTATTCATTTAAACTATGCATAATAATAATTGATGAACTAAAGTTGTACATGTGTGATCGATTAAGGGTATAATAATTACATAAATAATATCTAAATCATACAAAATTATTATTCTAAATAAGCATTGGTAAAAGCCAGACGATTTTGTCTTTAATATTCATTTGCTAGTGATCTTTAATTTGGAGTGGAAACAGGTGGAGTGACTTTATCGCGTCAGACATGTGACACTTTGCTCACAGCTGATTGGTCCAAGTTCGGTTTGTAACCTCTCACCTGGAGCATCACCTGACCCGGGCCAGTTAGCCGTGGAGCGTGAGTTACTATGGCGATAAACACGCTAAAAGCCAAACCACTTTCATGGTGCCTAAACCCAGGGTTGGCGCAAACTAAACGGAAACACACCTGGCTAGCCGCCTAAACCGGCTTCATGGTACAGGCCCCAGGACTGTATGTTTCGGAAATCTAGACTAAAAACACATCTCTTTTACCTGGCATTCACATAGAACATTATACATTTCTATTATTCAAATCAGTTAAATGATTATTAGGCTGCATAGATTAGGTCAGCCGGAACCGGGGACACTTCCTATAACACCCGATGTACATCATAAGAAGAATAGCGTCTACGCTAATGTTAGTCTCTCTGTTTAGTCTGAGGTTTACTGAAGTCAGCCGGATCCGGGCCGTATCCAGATCTGATGGAGGACCTGCGCCTGTACACGTCCACAACGCATCACTGCAGTGCCAGCCTCATCAGCCCTGTGAAGGCCTCATGGACACGACAGCCATCGGCACTGATCCTCAACACACTCCATACCGGCGTGACTCCGACCTCCAACCAGATGAACTGGATAATATTCTGATTGTTCTGATCCAATCCGACCTCTGACCTGTAATGCTGCCTGAATCATAATCACACACTGTTCGCTCGTTGGCCAGAGGAGAACTGAGCGACTGAGTCTGGGTTCTCCCAAGGTTTATTTCTCCATTCTGCCACTGATGGAGGTTTGGTTCCTCTCCACTGTCGCCTTGGCTTTTGGCTTGCTTAGTTGGGGACATTTAATATTCAACAACATTATTGATCTGCCTTACTTAAGGTGGACGATGACGCAATTTTATTCTAGAAACAAACTTTGTTGTATATTTTCATGTTATCTCTGTCAAGCTGCTTTGATACAATCTGTATTGTAAAAAGCACTATAAATAAAGGTGACTTGACTTGAAAGACGTCTCTTCTGCTCACCAAGGCTGCATTTATTTGATCAGTAATACTATGAAATATTACTAACTAAAATAAGTGTTTTCTATGTGAATATACAGTAAAGTGTAATTTATTCCTGTGATCAAAGCTGAATTTTCAGCATCATTACTCCAGTCTTCAGTGTCACATGATCCTTCAGAAATCACTCTAATATGACGATTTGATGATCAAGAAACATTTCTGATTATTATCAACGCTGAAAACAAAAGTTGAAATGTTGTGGAAATCGTGATGCACTCGCATTCAAAAGTTTTGGGTAAATGAGATTTAAAAATGTTTTTACCTTTATTCTGCAAGGATGCATTAACAAAAGAGACAATAAAGACATTAGTAATGTTACAAAAGATTTATCAAAATGCTATTCATGAACTTTCTGTTTATCAAAGAATCCTGAATCACGTTTCCACAAAAATATTAAGCAGCAGCCATATCACCCTGTAGCCCAAGACTGGTTGTCCACTGAAGCTAAGCAGGGCTGAGCCTGGTTAGTACCTGGATGGGAGACCTTCTGAGAAAACCAGGTTGCTGCTGGAAGAGGTGTTAGTGAGGCCAGCAGGGGGCGCTCACCCTGTGGTCTGTGTGGGTCCTAACGCCCCAGTGTAGTGACGGGGACACTATACTGTCAAAGAGCACCGTCCTTCGGATGAGACGTTAAACCGAGGTCCTGACTTTCTGTGGTCATTAAAAATCCCAGGATGTCTTTCGAAAGAGTAGGGGTGTAACCCCGGCATCCTGGCCAAATTTGCCCAGTGGCCTCCTAATCATCCCCATATATATATATATATATATATACACTGATTGGCTTCATCACTCTGTCTCCTCTCCACCAGTAAGCTGGTGTGTGGTGAGCGTTCTGGCGCACTATGGCTGCCGTCGCATCATCCAAGTGGATGCTGCACATTGGTGGTGGTTGAGGAGATTCCCCCTTCCATGTGAAGCGCTTTGAGTGCCTAGAAAAGCGCTATATAAATGTAATGAATTATTATTATTATTATTAACATAGTTTTCAACATTGATAATAAGCACCAGCACCAATAATAACTGATCAGACTCTGAAGACTGCATGATGACTGCACAAATAATGAGATATGCAGGTATATATTCAAAAAGAAAACAGATGTTTTACATTATAATAATATTTCAATATTAATGTTTTACAGTATTTTAGATTAAATTAATGCAGGCTTAAGAGACTTAGAGACCTATTTCAAAAACATTACAACTTGTTTTGATCAATGGTGTAAATGTACAAAAAAGCACAAAGTGTTACTTATTTTATGAATATTAACTGAATTGTTACCTGTCAGTAAAACATTGACAATGCACTTATGATTTATATACAAAAGTTATTGTTTGTACATATTTCCATACTTGTATAATCGTATAAGACAAACAATTGGGCATGTTTAATGCGTCTATCGTGGTTATGATGTGAGAATGAGTTTCTGCCTTTACTTTCTTGAATTATTCAACAGTAATTATACTTGTATATATAGAGAGGGTATTTTTATATCTTAATAAAAAATTGCATCCATCAAAAAAAGAAATTATAAAATTACAGTTTCACAACCTAGTGAAATCAATACCTTCAATGCACTTTTGGGCTTATAGGCTGCCTACTTTATAGCCTAGACAGCAGTTTATTAGATTATGAGAGGTTTGGACTTTCATTTTTTTTGTTTCCTGAAGCAGGAGAGAAGCGAGTTTCCTGCTGGGCGTAGAGTTTGTACTTGTATTTTCGTGATAACGAACATAACTTCAAAGCGAGTGCAGTTGAAAGTCCAGTCTTGCGCATGCGCAGTAGCGCCTGATGGTATTTAAATATGGGGTGAAGATTCCAGCAGCTCCACAAACACACACGGTTCTTCTTCTCCTCATGATCAGTGTGTGTGTGTGAGTTACACATCACGATGAGCTGGGCCATCGCCCCTCTGGCTGTCGGGATCGCCACTCTCCTGCTCGTCCAGAGGAAGTTGTACCCGTACTTCTGGGAAGACTTGCTGTATTACGCGAGGGTGCGGCGCGTGGGGAAGGCGATGATGGCGAGGATGAAGCGCGGAGTTGTCACATATCTCCAGTGCTTTGAGCTTCAAGCCAGAAACATCCCCCAGAAAGCGTTCATCGTGTTCGAGGACCAGGTGCTCTCGTACAGGGACGCAGATGTGCGCAGTAACCGATTCGCGAACGTGTTGCGGTCTCACTGCGGGCTGAGACACGGGGATATCGTGGCGCTCCTCATGAACAACGAGCCGGACTTCATCTGCGTCTGGTTCGGGCTCTGCAAGCTGGGCTGTGAGGTCGCGTTTCTCAACTTTAACATCAAATCCCAGTCTCTGCAGCACTGTCTGCACAGCTGTGGTGCTAAAGCGCTCGTCGTCGGCTCAGGTAAGCGACGCGACGCGACGCTCGGGTGTAAGCGACATAACTGACTGTATAGGGAGCTCAGCACTATGTTATTATCACGCTATAACGGCAACATATATATATATAGAGAGAGAGACCTTTACCCCTCAGTCGTTTCCTTATTTCACTGGCCTTCTTCCCATCAAGCTGAAGTGAAGATGAACATGTTGATCCTGTGAGAAGGAGTGTGATGAGCACAGAGGTCCTTCACTACAGCTAGCCTTCATGCTAGTTCTTTTGGTTGCTTATTTTGTATTGTTTGATTTTAAAACAATCTACAAACAACAAGGAAAGTTTGACCAAAGAAATCTATGTTTTGACAAAGCCAAGCTTGACTGAACTTTGTTAAAAAACAAAACAAACCTAAACAAACTGAAGGCTGTTTAGGCTGGTATTGTTTTTTCTTTTCATTTTTTTCATTTTCCCTTTCAAAAGTAATCTGGCGTCTAGAAACTAGGCTGAATTATTCTGGGTGGTTGCTGGAGTATTGATTGGCAGTTATTAGAAGTACGGTGGCCGAGAGGTGCAAAACAAATTACAATTCAGAAAACAAAATAACAATTCAGAAAACACAACGACAATTCAGAAAACAAAATAACAATTCAGAAAAAACAACAACAATTCAGAAAACAAAATAACAATTCAGAAAACACAACGACAATTCAGAAAACAAAATAACAATTCAGAAAACACAACGACAATTCAGAAAACAAAATAACAATTCAGAAAACACAACAACAATTCAGAAAACACAACGACAATTTGAAAACACAACGACAATTCAGAAAACACAACGACAATTCAGAAAACAAAATAACAATTCAGAAAAAACAACAACAATTCAGAAAACACAACGACAATTCAGAAAACACAACGACAATTCAGAAAACACAACGACAATTCAGAAAACACAACGACAATTCAGAAAACACAACGAGAATTCAGAAAACACAACGACAATTCAGAAAACACAACGACAATTCAGAAAACACAACGACAATTCAGAAAACACAACGACAATTCAGAAAACACAACGACAATTCAGAAAACACAACGACAATTCATTCAAAACGGAAAAGGTAGGTATATTTTGAGAATGGCATACTTGTCGCTGATTGGACGAGACACTTGTCAATCAAGCCAGAACCGGAATCAAGCGATTACTGGAAGTACCGAGGGTAGAAAAGCGATTCGTTTTTACACTGAAATCTTCACGGTTACTTTTGTACATGGAGCTTTCTCTACCGTGAACGAGATTATAATGTTATTCCCCGATGCTGATGTACAGAGCAAACGTTCAATCTGAAGTAGTAGACGTATATTTCTCTCTGTTGTTTTGTTTCCTTAACTTTATATCTCGGCGCTGTGCTGCAGAATTGGGGATTCCCTCAATACGTCATTGTCCAGGATTGATCACCCTGCGGTCAGGACACTTAAAGTAACTCAATGGACAAAACACAGTACAATAAAAGACCTTTACCTCACACCTTATTGGGCATTTAGGCTATATTAATAGGCTACATGTAAGCAGATGGACCAGAATATGAACGTAACGCACAGCGTGCCGTACCATGCAGTGGAAAAGCCCAAAAGTTTCACGCTAAGTGATTCTGTGAAGTAGGATTGGCTAACGTTACTGGCATAAGCTGGCCTAGATATTCGTACATTTAGGGACCGTGACCGTCTCTAAAGTTACATATGACATTGGTACACACGTTTCTAACTTCAATCAATTAGACATTCTCTGCTTCAATAGCATTTTAATGACTTACAGTCATAAAACCATCTGTAAATTGTTCATGATGTAGATGTCAGGCATGATGCACACTTTTTAGATAGTTGATATTAAAATTAATATGAGCTCATGCGGTACTGAAAAAATATGTACACATGATTTGACAGTTTATTTGAGAAAAATACCAAAAACGAATCGCTTTTCTACCCTCGGTACTTCCAGTAATCGCTTGATTCCGGTTCTGGCTTGATTGACAGGTGTCTCGTCCAATCAGCGACAAGTATGCCATTCTCAAAATATACCTACCTTTTCCGTTTTGAATGAATTGTCGTTGTGTTTTCTGAATTGTTATTTTGTTTTCTGAATTGTCGTTGTGTTTTCTGAATTGTTATTTTGTTTTCTGAATTGTAATTTGTTTTGCACCTCTCGGCCACCGTATAGAAGGGACGACAAAACAAAAACAAATCCGGGTAGATTACTTACAAATTGTAAGTAATAAAGTAGTCCATTACATTCCACATTTAAAGTAATATAATCTGACTACTTTTTGATTACTTTTAGTTTATTTTTGACCTAACTCATTTATCACATAGATTTTTTTGAATAGGATATAATCTTGTACCATATTAATATAAAAATACAAAGATAAAGAAAATATATTCCATTCTTTATCAACGATATGTGTATTAAAGGGATACTTCACCTCTGGAAAGATGAATGTGTATTTAAAATGGGTCATTTATGTAGAAGAAATGTGAAATTATTTTTGAATTTGGAGCTTTCTAGACTGAGAAAAGCCAGAAAATGTATTTTTGGCTTATGTGGATGAAAGACAACAACTCCCAGAATGCACTTGCTTTGCTGCCCTAGCGGGCCACGCCTACTGGTAACAGAGCGCAGTAGTTAAACAACAAGTCTAGGCTACTAGTGAGTCTCCGTGATGAGTCTGCCCGAAAATGTGTTTCGAGATCGCCCAAAAGGATGAATGGTAACCCCTACTACTCAGCTTTCTCCTACTAAGTTACTCCGCTTTCTCCACAGAACAAGAGCCTGCTAGCTTAGCTTCCAAAAAAGATGGCTGACACTGTGTACATTCTGTGAGTGAGATCCAACCCTCTATGGGCGGGTTGAGAACATGCGGGACGGATCCTACTACTGACTGTAGCCCTACCCCCCTAACCTGTAATTTGAAAATACTACTTGTTTTTTACTAATACAAAGCTTAATGCTAAATCCTGAAGTATCCCTTTAAATATTACATTAGGTCTGGGTTTCCCAGACTGGGGTTTGTGAGTTTAATGAAAATCATTAAAAAAATCGAAATAAAACAATTATTAAAAATTATTTAAAAAAAATGATTGTATTTGTTTACCTGAATGTTATAGTCCAATAATAGAATAGAACTTCACGGTTCTCCAATATCAGTTAATGGTCACATAATGAACATATTGGAGAACCGTGAACTTCTATTCTATTATAGGACTTTATTTAATTATTGACCTAATAACTTCTCAATGGATACATAATCTCAGTGGATACTTCAAGTAAATATATTTGGTCAAAGACGTTCAGCTTGACAAAAAAATTGGGGGAATTGCATGTAAATATGAAATGATGTGAATTTGTACATTTGAATGTGTTTGGAAGACAAAAGCCTTCTGAAGACGGTAACACACAATGTCCTGATGTTGTCCCGTGCTTGCAGACCTGATGGCGTCTCTGGAGGAGGTGCTGCCGACGCTGATGGACTCTGGGATAGATGTGTGTGTGGCAGCAGAGAGATCCTCACTGAAGGACTCTGGGATAGATGTGTGTGTGGCAGCAGAGAGACCCTCACTGAAGAACATCAGGACTCTGCTGGACCAGCTGGACTCGGCCTCCCCAGAGAAGCCTGAGCTCGACGCTCCTCCACCAAACCTCATGGACAACTTCTTGTTCATCTTCACATCTGGCACTACAGGTGCAGTACACACAGAAAACACCAACAGCGGTTACTCTATTACAGTTCAGGACGGCAGACACGTCTCTAGCCCTTCATCAGCACTGGGGCACAGCCATGCCCACATCCATATTTTGATATTTTTAAAGGCAGTTAAGGATAGTCTTTGCCTGTAGTACAGAGCGACACATGCGATAAAGAAGACATTCACAAGTTTTCTTTCCTATGATGGATTGTAGGTAAATATCAACCTCATCCAGCGCTCTTTTTGTTTTCTGTCTTATAAAATATCTAATTATTATTTGAGTGTAAGATGTTCGTGTTCGTGAGCTGTCCTCATGGTCAAACAGAATCGCACACTATCTCAGACCTTTTTGCAAACCACTTTGGCAGAGAAGATGAGGGCGATTCCTCCGTGAATCTGGCATCGCTAACTCTGATTCTAAACAGCTGATAAAAAACACCGATTACATGATTGATTGCTGAAATATTATTAGAGGAAATGATTCTCTGAACGCTATATGACACACAGGCCTAGTTTCACAGACAGCTCTTCCATTAAGCCAGGATTAGGCCTTAGTTCACTATGACATTTAACCCTTGTACATCCTTATGGACATTTTTGTCTTTTTCATTTTTTATTTATTTATCATTTTGCCTATGTTAGAGATTGTATTTTTATTGGAATTTTACTATTTCACTGCCATTTCCTTTAATAAAACAATTTTACACTAGTACTAGGGGTGTAGCGATACCCTCATGTCACGATTCGATACATATCACGATACTGAACTCCCCGATACTGAACTCCCGACACTGAACTCCCGATACTGAACTCCCGATACTGAACTCCCGATACTGAACTCCCGATACTGAACTCCCGACACTGAACTCCCGACACTGAACTCCCGACACTGAACTCACTCCCGACACTGAACTCACTCCCGACACTGAACTCACTCCCGACACTGAACTCACTCCCGACACTGAACTCACTCCCGACACTGAACTCACTCCAGACACTGAACTCACTCCAGACACTGAACTCACTCCCGACACTGAACTCCCGACACTGAACTCCCGACACTGAACTCACTCCCGATACTGAACTCACTCACGATACTGAACTCCTGACACTGAACTCACTCCCGATACTGAACTCCCGACACTGAACTCCCGACACTGAACTCACTCCCGACACTGAACTCACTCCCGACACTGAACTCACTCCCGACACTGAACTCACTCCCGACACTGAACTCACTCCCGACACTGAACTCACTCCAGACACTGAACTCACTCCCGACACTGAACTCCCGACACTGAACTCCCGACACTGAACTCCCGACACTGAACTCACTCCCGATACTGAACTCACTCACGATACTGAACTCCTGACACTGAACTCACTCCCGATACTGAACTCCCGACACTGAACTCCCGATACTGAACTCCCGACACTGAACTCCCGACACTGAACTCCCGACACTGAACTCCCGATACTGAACTCCCGACACTGAACTCCCGACACTGAACTCCCGACACTGAACTCCCGACACTGAACTCCTGACACTGAACTCCCGACACTGAACTCCCGACACTGAACTCCCGATACTGAACTCCCGATACTGAACTCCCGACACTGAACTCCCGACACTGAACTCCCGATACTGAACTCCCGACACTGAACTCCCGACACTGAACTCCCGACACTGAACTCCCGACACTGAACTCCCGACACTGAACTCCCGACACTGAACTCCCGACACTGAACTCCCGACACTGAACTCCCGACACTGAACTCCCGACACTGAACTCACTCCCGACACTGAACTCACTCCCGACACTGAACTCACTCCCGACACTGAACTCACTCCCGACACTGAACTCACTCCCGACACTGAACTCACTCCCGACACTGAACTCACTCCCGATACTGAACTCCCGACACTGAACTCACTCCCGACACTGAACTCACTCCCGACACTGAACTCACTCCCGACACTGAACTCCCGATACTGAACTCACTCCCGATACTGAACTCCCGACACTGAACTCACTCCCGACACTGAACTCACTCCCGATACTGAACTCACTCCCGATACTGAACTCACTCCCGATACTGAACTCACTCCCGATACTGAATTCCCGATACTGAACTCCCGATACTGAACTCACTCCTCACTCCCGACACTGAACTCACTCCCGACACTGAACTCACTCCCGACACTGAACTCCCGAAACTGAACTCCCGATACTGAACTCCCGATACTGAACTCACTCCTCACTCCCGATACTGAACTCACTCCCGATACTGAACTCGCTCCCGATACTGAACTCGCTCCCGATACTGAACTCCCGATACTGAACTCCCGATACTGAACTCCCGATACTGAACTCCCGATACTGAACTCCCGATACTGAACTCCCGATACTGAACTCCCGATACTGAACTCCCGATACTGAACTCCCGATACTGAACTCCCGATACTGAACTCACTCCCGATACTGAACTCCCGACACTGAACTCCCGATACTGAACTCACTCCTCACTCCCGATACTGAACTCACTCCCGATACTGAACTCGCTCCCGATACTGAACTCCCGATACTGAACTCACTCCCGACACTGAACTCACTCCCGACACTGAACTCACTCCCGACACTGAACTCCCGATACTGAACTCCCGACACTGAACTCCCGACACTGAACTCCCGACACTGAACTCCCGACACTGAACTCCCGACACTGAACTCGCGACACTGAACTCGCGACACTGAACTCCCGACACTGAACTCCCGACACTGAACTCCCGACACTGAACTCACGATACTGAACTCACGATACTGAACTCACTCCCGATACTGAACTCCCTCCCGATACTGAACTCCCTCCCGATACTGAACTCACGATACTAAACTCACAATACAATATTATTGCGATACTCCAAGACATATGATAAAAGATTAACAATAAATGTACTGTTGATTAAAATGAATAGGCTGGACTTGGTGCTGAAACCCAAAGCACAGGACAATAGAGACACCAGAATAACAATATTCATGATTCTGAAGCTGAAAATACAGAATTATTTCAGATGAATATGCTTGTTTTCTGTCACTGGTTAGATATATTTATAATAATGTAGGACACTTTTTACTGATAACAGAAGATATCTGGTATTTTCAGGACCCACAAATATTTCCCCATTGCATTATTACTGTACAGTACTGACACTAAAACACGCACAGTAATTTTTATTTTGGGTGAACTGTCCACAATATTGTCACTATCCACGATACATATTGTTGCATTTTTGTATTGCGATATATTGTTACACCCCTACTAGGTACACAAAATAGATACACTCAGGACCATAAGGACAAAAATGTCCCCATTGAAACCCAAAGAATCTGCAGGACCTGGAGGATTTTTCTAAAGAACAATGGGCAGCTTCACTACTCACGACATAACAGGGACTCATGCACAGCTGTCAGAAGAACCAAAGGAATTAAATCAGAAATCAAGAAAAATGCTTCAGATCCTTCACTGTAAATGTATGAACAGCAATTTCTACCAGACCAGTCACGTGGCAATGACTATTCAATTCTGTTCTATTCTATTCTATTCTATTCTATTCTATACTGTTCTGTTCAACTCTACTCTATTATGTTCTACTCTACTCTACTCTGTTCTACTCTACTCTGTTCTACTCTACTCTGTTCTACTCTACTCTGTTCTACTCTGTTCTACTCTACTCTGTTCTACTAGAATCTGTTCTACTCTACTCTGTTCTACTCTACTCTGTTCTACTCCACTCTATTCTGTTCTACTCCACTCTATTCTGTTCTACTCTACTCTGTTCTACTCTACTCTGTTCTTCTCTACTCTGTTCTAATCTACTCTGTTCTACTCCACTCTATTCTGTTCTACTCTACTCTGTTCTACTCTACTCTGTTCTACTCCACTCTATTCTGTTCTACTCTACTCTGTTCTACTCTACTCTGTTCTACTCCACTCTATTCTGTTCTTCTCTACTCTGTTCTTCTCTACTCTGTTCTTCTCTACTCTGTTCTACTCTACTCTGTTCTACTCTACTCTGTTCTACTCCACTCTATTCTGTTCTTCTCTACTCTGTTCTTCTCTACTCTGTTCTACTCTACTCTGTTCTTCTCTACTCTGTTCTACTCCACTCTGTTCTACTCTACTCTGTTCTACTCTACTCTGTTCTACTCTACTCTGTTCTACTCTACTCTGTTCTACTCTACTCTGTTCTTCTCTACTCTGTTCTACTCTGTTCTACTCTACTCTGTTCTACTCTACTATGTTCTACTCCACTCTACTCTGTTCTTCTCTACTCTGTTCTACTCCACTCTACTCTGTTCTTCTCTACTCTGTTCTTCTCTACTCTGTTCTTCTCTACTCTGTTCTTCTCTACTCTGTTCTTCTCTACTCTGTTCTTCTCTACTCTGTTCTTCTGTTCTTCTCTACTCTGTTCTTCTCTACTCTGTTCTACTCCACTCTGTTCTACTCTACTCTGTTCTACTCTACTCTGTTCTACTCTACTCTGTTCTTCTCTACTCTGTTCTACTCTGTTCTACTCTGTTCTACTCTACTCTGTTCTACTCTACTATGTTCTACTCCACTCTACTCTGTTCTTCTCTACTCTGTTCTACTCCACTCTACTCTGTTCTTCTCTACTCTGTTCTTCTCTACTCTGTTCTTCTCTACTCTGTTCTACTCTACTCTGTTCTTTTCTACTCTGTTCTTCTCTACTCTGTTCTTCTCTACTCTGTTCTTCTCTACTCTGTTCTTCTCTACTCTGTTCTTCTCTACTCTGTTCTTCTGTTCTTCTCTACTCTGTTCTACTCTACTCTGTTCTACTCTACTCTGTTCTACTCTACTCTGTTCTACTCTACTCTGTTCTTCTCTACTCTGTTCTACTCTGTTCTACTCTGTTCTACTCTGTTCTACTCTACTCTGTTCTACTCTTCTATGTTCTACTCCACTCTACTCTGTTCTTCTCTACTCTGTTCTACTCCACTCTACTCTGTTCTTCTCTACTCTGTTCTTCTCTACTCTGTTCTTCTCTACTCTGTTCTACTCTACTCTGTTCTTCTCTACTCTGTTCAACTCTACTCTGTTCTTCTCTACTCTGTTCTACTCTACTTTGTTCTTTTCTACTCTGTTCTTCTCTACTCTGTTCAACTCTACTCTGTTCTTCTCTACTCTGTTCTTCTGTTCTTCTCTACTCTGTTCTTCTCTACTCTGTTCTTCTCTACTCTGTTCTTCTCTACTCTGTTCTTCTCTACTCTGTTCTACTCTACTCTGTTCTACTCTACTCTGTTCAACTCTACTCTGTTCTTCTCTACTCTGTTCTTCTCTACTCTGTTCTTCTCTACTCTGTTCTTCTGTTCTTCTCTACTCTGTTCTTCTCTACTCTGTTCTTCTCTACTCTGTTCTTCTCTACTCTGTTCTACTCTACTCTGTTCTACTCTACTCTGTTCAACTCTACCTGTTCTTCTCTACTCTGTTCTTCTCTACTCTGTTCTTCTCTACTCTGTTCTTCTCTACTCTGTTCTTCTGTTCTTCTCTACTCTGTTCTTCTCTACTCTGTTCTTCTCTACTCTGTTCTTCTCTACTCTGTTCTTCTCTACTCTGTTCTTCTCTACTCTGTTCTTCTCTACTCTGTTCTACTCTACTCTGTTCTACTCTACTCTGTTCTTCTCTACTCTGTTCTTCTCTACTCTGTTCTTCTCTACTCTGTTCTTCTCTACTCTGTTCTACTCTACTCTGTTCTTTTCTACTCTGTTCTTCTCTACTCTGTTCTTCTCTACTCTGTTCTTCTCTACTCTGTTCTTCCTTACTGTTCTTCTGTTCTTCTCTACTCTGTTCTTCTCTACTCTGTTCTTCTCTACTCTGTTCTTCTCTACTCTGTTCTTCTCTACTCTGTTCTTCTCTACTCTGTTCTACTCTACTCTGTTCTACTCTACTCTGTTCAACTCTACCTGTTCTTCTCTACTCTGTTCTTCTCTACTCTGTTCTTCTCTACTCTGTTCTACTCTACTCTGTTCTTCTCTACTCTGTTCTTCTCTACTCTGTTCTACTCTACTCTGTTCTACTCCACTCTGTTCTTCTCTACTCTGTTCTACTCTACTCTGTTCTACTCCACTCTGTTCTACTCCACTCTGTTCTACTCCACTCTGTTCTACTCCACTCTGTTCTACTCCACTCTGTTCTTCTCTTCTCTGTTCTACTCTACTCTGTTCTTCTCTACTCTGTTCTACTCTACTCTGTTCTACTCTACTCTGTTCTACTCGACTCTGTTCTTCTCTACTCTGTTCTACTCTACTCTGTTCTACTCTACTCTGTTCTACTCCACTCTGTTCTACTCCACTCTGTTCTTCTCTACTCTGTTCTACTCTACTCTGTTCTACTCTACTCTGTTCTACTCCACTCTGTTCTTCTCTACTCTGTTCTACTCCACTCTGTTCTTCTCTTCTCTGTTCTTCTCTTCTCTGTTCTACTCTACTCTGTTCTTCTCTACTCTGTTCTACTCTACTCTGTTCTACTCGACTCTGTTCTTCTCTACTCTGTTCTACTCTACTCTGTTCTACTCTACTCTGTTCTACTCCACTCTGTTCTACTCCACTCTGTTTTACTCCACTCTGTTCTACTCTACTCTGTTCTTCTCTACTCTGTTCTTCTCTACTCTGTTCTTCTCTACTCTGTTCTACTCTACTCTGTTCTACTCTACTCTGTTCTACTCTACTCTGTTCTTCTCTACTCTGTTCTACTCTACTCTGTTCTTCTCTACTCTGTTCTACTCCACTCTACTCTGTTCTTCTCTACTCTGTTCTTCTCTACTCTGTTCTTCTCTACTCTGTTCTACTCTACTCTGTTCTACTCTACTCTGTTCTTTTCTACTCTGTTCTTTTCTACTCTGTTCTTCTCTACTCTGTTCTTCTCTACTCTGTTCTTCTGTTCTTCTCTACTCTGTTCTTCTCTACTCTGTTCTTCTCTACTCTGTTCTTCTGTTCTTCTCTACTCTGTTCTACTCTACTCTGTTCTACTCTACTCTGTTCTACTCTACTCTGTTCAACTCTACCTGTTCTTCTCTACTCTGTTCTTTTCTACTCTGTTCTTCTCTACTCTGTTCTTCTCTACTCTGTTCTTCTCTACTCTGTTCTTCTCTACTCTGTTCTTCTCTACTCTGTTCTTCTCTACTCTGTTCTACTCTACTCTGTTCTTCTCTACTCTGTTCTTCTCTACTCTGTTCTTCTCTACTCTGTTCTACTCTACTCTGTTCTACTCCACTCTGTTCTACTCCACTCTGTTCTACTCCACTCTGTTCTACTCCACTCTGTTCTTCTCTTCTCTGTTCTACTCTACTCTGTTCTTCTCTACTCTGTTCTACTCTACTCTGTTCTACTCTACTCTGTTCTACTCGACTCTGTTCTTCTCTACTCTGTTCTACTCTACTCTGTTCTTCTCTACTCTGTTCTTCTCTACTCTGTTCTACTCTACTCTGTTCTACTCTACTCTGTTCTACTCGACTCTGTTCTTCTCTACTCTGTTCTACTCTACTCTACTCTTTTCTACTCCACTCTGTTCTTCTCTACTCTGTTCTACTCCACTCTGTTCTTCTCTTCTCTGTTCTACTCTACTCTGTTCTTCTCTACTCTGTTCTACTCTACTCTGTTCTACTCTACTCTGTTCTACTCTATTCTTCTCTACTCTGTTCTACTCTACTCTGTTCTACTCTACTCTGTTCTACTCTACTCTGTTCTACTCTACTCTGTTCTACTCTATTCTTCTCTACTCTGTTCTACTCGACTCTGTTCTACTCTACTCTGTTCTACTCTATTCTTCTCTACTCTGTTCTACTCTACTCTGTTCTACTCTACTCTGTTCTACTCTGTTCTTCTCTACTCTGTTCTACTCTACTCTGTTCTACTCGACTCTGGTCTACTCGACTCTGTTCTTCTCTACTCTGTTCTTCTCTACTCTGTTCTACTCCACTCTGTTCTTCTCTGGTCTACTCTACTCTGTTCTTCTCTTCTCTGTTCTACTCCACTCTGTTCTTCTCTTCTCTGTTCTACTCTACTCTGTTCTTCTCTACTCTGTTCTACTCTACTCTGTTCTTCTCTACTCTGTTCTACTCTACTCTGTTCTACTCTACTCTGTTCTACTCTACTCTGTTCTACTCCACTCTGTTCTACTCCACTCTGTTCTACTCTACTCTGTTCTACTCTACTCTGTTCTACTCTACTCTGTTCTACTCTACTCTGTTCTACTCTACTCTGTTCTACTCTACTCTGTTCTACTCTACTCTGTTCTACTCTACTCTGTTCTACTCTACTCTGTTCTACTCTACTCTGTTCTACTCGACTCTGGTCTACTCGACTCTGTTCTTCTCTACTCTATTCTGAGGTGTGGAGTGGTTGATTGTAAGTACATATGGAGTAGGTGATAATGCACACAACACGTCTGCCTAAACGCGGGAATGTTTCAGTCTTTATGTTGCACTGACGGTCTCCTGTTGTTCTCTGGTTCCCAGGACTGCCGAAGGCTGCTCGGATCAGTCACATCAAAGCTGTGATGTGTATGGCCTTCCTCCGCCTGTGTGGCGCTCGTGGCAGTGATCGAGTCTACCTGCCGCTGCCGCTCTACCACATGTCTGCGTCGCTGCTCGGCATCGGCGGGTGCATCCAGCTCGGTATGAGCTTACTAACACACAAACCACATGCTTTTCTGCACTATATATGTGGCGTCTGTAAGGCTTCCATATAAATATTGCTAGTGTAAGAAAGCAGTTGACTGTGAACAGTTCCTGTACGTGTAACCTGACCCTGACATGGAGCGTTGTGTTTCAGGGGCGACGTGTGTTTTGAAGAGGAAGTTCTCTGCCAGCCAGTTTTGGAAGGACTGTCTGAAGTATGATATTACTGTCTTTCAGTATATTGGAGAACTCTGTCGATATTTGGTCAATCAACCAAAGGTACTAAAGTGTGTACTTCATGCTAACACATGTACTGCATTTTTAGGGGTTTTGTTTCTAGTTGACATTGTTTGGTCAAAGACAACATTTCATTGGGTTGATGTAGATAACATTACGATTTAGCTTTGTTTGTTGACAGACTGCAGAGGAAGCGTCTCATAAAGTCCGCCTCGCCGCTGGAAGTGGACTTAGAGCGGATGTCTGGAAGGAGCTTGTCAGACGGTTTGGAAAAATCCAAATTCGCGAAGCTTATGGTTTGACGGAGGCCAGTATTGGCTTTGTTAATTACACAGATGAAATTGGACCAATTGGACGAGCGAGTTATTTTAATAAGGTCTGCTTTTATCGATTTGAGGTTTACTAATCCAACTCTCCAATAACATTGAGTTTGAATGATGTGTAATAAATGAGATTCAAAGATGAATTGCAGTTCATTCAGTAATGTGAATGTACTTTCTGATGTAATGTAGATCTTTTCTCTGATTTATTCCAGCTCAATCTGCCTTTTGAGTTTTTAAAATGTGATCCACAAACGTATGAGCCCATACGGACCGACTCGGGACACTGCATTAAAGTGAGTAAAGGTGAGGTCACTGTATTTTTAATTGTTAATATACTTCACATTTTGAGAGCAGACAGCTGGACCATATTAATTATAAAACTGCTACGTGACTCTGAAACGGGATCACCTTCGCTGGATCATTGGGAAGGGAAAGTATTAAGAATAATACCTTCATGTAAACTTATGTATGCTTTACCCGACAGTGTCATGTTTTTGCTGTGTTGGGAAAAATATTATATATACAGGTCTTGACATTAACACCTGCCAAATGCGTGTGTATTTCAGCAGTGGTGTGGTGGGTTGAATTTTATTTAAAATATACATATTTTTCAATTGTAGGCTTTTTAAAAGGCATCTGAAATATTAAACTAATTGCAATCTCATAAATATAGATTTTTGGATACATTGGTACCGAAATATCTGAAACGATCCAATACTCATTTTCCGCAGAATAGATACACGATATTGGCAGTGCTCTCATCTCTTCGACACCGAGTTACACACACAAACCCGCCTCCACTCACTCACTCGTTTCAGTTGCTCCGGATGAATATTGTTGCTGTTACAGGGCTTGAATGTTGGTGCGGGATTGCGTGTATTGCTCATTCCCGCAGATTTTGTGCTCACACCCAAAGTGCCCACACATAAAGCCGCCTCTCAGCACTAAATTTAGTTCTTTTTCGCAGCTTTTGTGTTAAAAAAAACTGTAAAATACACACAAAATAATGTCAAAATGCCGGTCGATAATTCATGTAAACACAGTCAGTCCATGCGTCAGGTCTTAAAGGTGAACTACCGTAAAACTTCAAATAGTAGCCCGGGCTTTTATTTTCCCAAATCGTCGAACTGCACCGGCTTGTATTTGAGACAGGCGTCTATATGAGACAGGCCTTTATAATTTAGTGTTGAGATGTTGTTCATTGAGTGTATAGGCTTGTCTCTAATCAATAAAAATCTCCAAATGCTCCACGTGAAACTGCGGTCTTCCGACCTTTTACTATCGTGTCAATTGATTTTGATTAATATGCGCGAGGGAGAGAGAGCAAGACAGCGCTCATGTTCTTTGAAGACGTGAGAGTGCGCGCGCGCGCGGCGCTCTCTCTCTCTCTCTCTCTCTCTCTGCTCGTAACGCGCCCTGTCAGGCGCAGCAGTCATTCTATTCTACATCACTCATCGATCAAAAAAGGCTTTGGAGGGACAACAATTTGCTTTGGCGGCCGCCAAAAAGCGGACGATCTGACGGTTTTAGAGGATACAACCCGAAACTAAAAAACAGACCCGGCCTCTATTTGAGACCGGCCTTTATTTACCCAAACCTGCAGCCACACCAGGCGTGTAAAAGAGACAGGCGTCTATTTGGGACTCGGCTATTATTTGAAGTTTTACGGTAAGTAACTTTTTTACCTTAACCGAACAGCTTTGAAGTCATTGTAATGTTTATATTACTGATTTCGTGTTGAATGGTGGTCGCCTCGCACCCCCCTGGTGCCTGTGAGCCGCAAAATCACACTTGCAACTTTGGGCCGGCGAGTGCTATTCACGACAGTACAAGTACTCCACAGCGACTCTAGGGGTCGCTGTTTGACAAAAACGGAATTCTTACTGAGTTCTGCTTTAAAGTGACAGCAGCCTAATAAACCTGCTTCCAAATTATGAGATGATATTAAAAACACTTTATTTTACAGTGTCCTTGTTAACCCTCTGGGGACCAGAAACGCGCCGGCGCGTTTTGCTCGTTTTTTTTCACATAGCAGAAAAATAGACTTAAAGTACTACCATCATTTCTGTTCATATAGAGTTAAGAAATATGAGAAAATAATCTGTTAAATGTCTACTTTTTTATGTGCCCACATACAATCGAAATAAAATATTGTGCTTTTGTAAAATAAAGAAAATAAACAGGGTGTGCGTTCTGCCTCTCGGTCACCGTGAACTTTTTTTCTGGAGCACGTCTCTAATCTTCAACACAACTCAGCTAATACTATTCACCCAGCCATAAGCAATATATCTTTTAAATCATTTGAGTTTGTACTTTTAAATGATCCGATTCAAAACTAAAATTATTATTCTCCGTTTATGTCATCTATATAAAAAGAGAGACGTGTCAGCCCGTCTCATTATCGTTCTCTCAGCTGATTATCTCTGGTAATGTGACACGCCCACGGAGAGCACGCGCTATTCAAACGCAAATATGTGAAGCAACACATTGAGACGCGTTAACGCCCATAAACTCTGAAAACACACATTATTTTTTAGTCAGATTAATCTACTGTCGTCTTGCGCGGCTATATGAGGAACAATCCTGTGACATTTACCACTGGGTTTATTTTCACTTCGAGGATGAACAGATTCAGCTGAGAAGTAAGTGTTTTTTGCAAGTGCTTTGTTCTAATCGCGATATAGAATAACGTTAGTGTCTGTAAACGGAAAAATAGCATACTGTTAAATGTGAATCATGTTTGTGTGTGTGTGTGTGTGAATGAATGAATGAATGAATGAACGCACAGATACGCACTGTTACAGACTAAATAACAGACAACATTTCGTTGACTCGTTTTGGATAAAGTTTTTACTCTAAAATAGACATCAAATAAGCTTTTTTTAGGAGTTTCTGCTCATATGTTAAATATATAGTATGTTTTGTCAATAAACTAATCAACTAAGATGTTATAGTGTTTGTTCAAGCTATATCAAAATAATGAATCCTCAACTTTGAAATATGTATGATCAAACTAAGACATTTATGGAGAAAGACAATTTTCTTTTCAAGATGTTTCCAACTCTAACTTTGACCTTTGAACTGAAATAAAACCATGTCTATATGGTGAAGGGTGTGTGATAGAAGTGTCCAGACGTATGCACCCTGTATTTTCCTTATATAAATCCAAACAATCTAAAAGCCATTCTTTTTTAAATCTCCTCATTCTTTGTGCAAGGCTCCTGTAATGATATGGCCTGATAGCACCTAATAGGGCCATTATGGGAGGGTCTTTGTCTTTCTCAGGTGTGGAATGCCACACATATTAATGAGAGATCACGCCTCCTGCATAAAGCTTTCTCAAACAAAACACGTCATTAAAAATGTAAAAGACTTTATTGACTTATCTGAATGAGTAGTCAGGATGATTCTCACATAGTTTTGGAGCAAATATTCTAGACTATGTGATACAATTTTCAAAAGTCTTGTGAAGAAATAATCAATATGTGTTTTGTGGTCTTATTTCAGCAACTTTTATTTTTATTTTTTTCAATAACCACGCATAAACATTATTCTATTAAAAATACAAACATGTACATACATGTTGCTCAGATATCATGGTAGCCAAGTTTGTGCTATATTGAGTGAATTTACACCTTTGCCATTAACATGTTTATAAATAACTGAAAAAAGCACAAATGTCAGTGCATGTCAAAACATCCCAAGGGCCCCAAAAACACTCTGGTCCCCAGAGGGTTAAATATGTTACATGTACTTACCATAGTAATAACAGTAAATGATGCATAATTACATGCAAACAACCAAACCCTAATCTAACCCTATAAGTAAGTACATGTAGTTAATTAATATTACTCGGTACTTAAATATGTAATTATACTGTAACAATGACGCCTGAAAATAAAGTGTAAACAAAATATCTATATGGCAGTTTTTTTCCCATGGTATCCGTCAAAATTGTGGCTAATAACTTTGAAAAATCACTAGCCGCAGTGGTTGGGGAGCAAAAAAAGTTAATGTCAAGCCCTGATTATTACAAAAAGTTCCTAAAGTAAAGTGTGATCTGTGTGGAGTGTGTGAGCAGCATGTGGTCCTCAGGCCTGACTCGTGTGTTTTCAGGGGAAGCAGGGTTACTGGTGGCTCCAGTGATGTTCACCAACCCTTTCCTGGGCTACGCCGGGGATAAAGCCATGTCTGAGAGGAAGCTGCTGAGGGACGTCTTCAGGACGGGGGACGTGTATTTCAACACAGGAGATCTGATGCTTCAGGACCACAGGGACTTCGTCTACTTCAAAGACAGGATTGGAGACACGTTCAGGTCTTTACTTCACTGTTTCCCTCATGCTTGCAAATGTGGCTATGATGTTGGGAATCTTTGCATTTAACTCTGGCTTGTAGCTGCAAAAGGTCACCAGTCATAATATCATCTTTGATAGGATTCTGTATGAGTATTTGTAAACCCTTCAGGGCTCTGGCAGAGGGTCTGGCCAAGACTAACTTGGTGGGACTTCTGAAGCACAACCTTCATGCAGTAAAAGCACAAACACAGGGCCTTTCCTTCCGGCTCATCCTCTGGGATTTCCTCTCTGAGCACTGACTGAACTTTTGACTCACACATACATGAATAAACACAACAGATGGAGACTACGTTTACATCTATTATGAGAAAAAGAGAAATGTCACAAACAAGCCCGTTTTCACAAGGCCCAACCTAATGCCAGTGTAAAGCAGAAAAGAAGAGAGTTCGACTAGGTTTCAAATCCTGTTTCATTTGAACTGTGTGAAATATGAACTCAAATGACTGCTAGGATCATGGTCCATTTGCTCTGTTAAGGCCTGTTCACATCCACAACGATACATATAAAGACGACTATATCAGCGGAAGATGCCGGTGTGTTTATTCTAAGCGCATGCTGCAGTTTTGTCATCTGTTGCTTTAAATGCTCAAACAGGACCGATTTTGATTGGTCGTCAATGATTTTATCGTTCATCAGCTAGAAAACCAACAATATAGTTTCTCTGTGCCGTTATAGTTGTGGCGTTGACTCTGCTATTCAAAAATGTTTTAGAACTGTAACTTTATCATTATTGTTATAGTTATCATTCTTTGTGTGAACGGGCCTTTTGTTTTCACATGCTCAGAAAGGCCACAATAATCCCTATGGCTCTCTGTGCGGTGTTTACTCTGACCTCGACAGCGAGAGCACGTCATGGATCATGTTCTTGGTTGGTCTGCAGGTGGAAAGGAGAAAACGTGTCCACCACTGAGGTGTCCGAGGTGCTGGGCGGCCTGGACTTCCTCCTGGACGTCAGTGTGTATGGGGTCACTGTACCAGGTGATGCCGGCTGACTCCTCAGGCTCAGGATAGCTGTCAGACAGACGAACAGGGCTGTTCTGTAGTGTTTACTTTGCTTACCGTAAAACTTCAAATAATAGCCGAGTCCCAATTAGACGCCTGTCTCTTTTACACGCCTGGTGTGGCGGCAGGTTTGGGTAAATAAAGGCCGGTCTCAAATCGAGGCCGGGTCTGTTTTTTAGTTTCGGGTTGTATTTAATCTTCTAAAACCCGTCAGATCGTCCGCTTTTTCGCGGCCGCCAAAGCCTTTTTGGATCGATGAGTGATATAGAATAGAATGACTGCTGCGCTTGACAGGGCGCGTTACGAGCAGAGAGAGTAGTGATGGGAAGTTCGGTTCTTTTCCGCGAACCGGTTCTTTCGGACAGTTCGTTTCAATGAACCGGTTCAAAAAAACGGTTCACCAGTTCTTTTACGTCCTGGCGTAATGACGTCAATTATATCATCCCGGCGGATAAAAATACTTTAAATTAAAGGCATTTGTAATCATAACTTCACTAAGATAATAGTACTCATCGTCATAATTCTCTTGGATAAGTTTCTTACATTTACATTTTGCAAACGAACCCTGTAGCCTACAGGCGATGTGCAAACGCGGATGTTTAACATGTCTTAAATATATAAAGTGCATAAGTGGTCTTCATCATTTTATTTGTAATAAACTTACATTTTGCCGAATTCGGCCCCTCATTTAAGTCCTCGGTTCACCCGTGCTGCGTGCTCATCAGCACATCATCAGTTGGCCGAAAGAAAGTTCTGTTTAGAGACGGTGCTATCACGCATGCTCAGTATCTCCAGCTCATCTGTTCTCTGTATCGAACGTGTCCGAAAGAAACAGTTCTCGGTTCTGTACTGGTGATTCAAGAACTGCAACAACCAGTTCTTGACTCGAGAACCGTAGCATAGGCTGTGTGCTGAGCTGAGAACTGCTGAAACCTGAATATACAGTCGACAAAACTAAAAAAATCGATGCATGTCTTTCTTCTCCAATATGTTTAATACGTTATGTTTTAACACATTATAAACATTTACTAAGCAGTACTGTGCAGTGTGCACCATTAAAACTTTGGCAAGAGTTTACATCAAATATTTATATCAACTTACTTAGAAATTAAATGAGCTGTTCCTGAAAATATTATTTTAATAAATGTTTAGTTTGACAGTTTTACAATCCATTCATTGTGTTTCCAAACTTTAAAATAATACAGTGATAATACAGTAATTATGTGATAAACATGTTTCCAACATGTTTTTTTTATTACACTTACTGATGTTCAACTAAATAAATACTTAAGAAACGTACATTTCGTCCCTCAGAAAAAAAATTGCACGCATGCTCAGCTCATCGATCAGTTGTTCTCATGTCGAACGTGTCCGAAAGAAACGTCTCTGGTTACTTACGTAACCTATGTTCTCTGAATAGGGAACGAGACGCTGCGGAAAGCGCAGTGGGATATCCTCTGGATGTGCCGATTGCCTGAATCACGCCAATTCATTGGCTGATGGCGCTCGCGCAAAGCTGGCTCCGCCCCGACGCTCTTACGTCGTAGCATGATGAACGCGCGCGCGCCATCCTCTCCTCAGATTTCTCTGCCGAAAAGAAAAACTGTCGGCAGCGCGAGGAGCTGGGCAGCGAACGCAGCGTCTCGTTCCCTATTCAGAGAACATAGGTTACGTAAGTAACTAGAGACGTTCTCTTTCATAGGTTCACTCAACGCTGCGGAAAGCGCAGTGGGAACGAAATACCAAACTCGCCAAGCTAAGCGCTGCCATAACTGGTACCAGACCAAATAAAAATAACAACCATGATAGGTTCAAGCAGATAGAACCTGGGAACCTGGAGTCATGTCAAGATCTAAATTATAGAACGTCACAAAGGTGTGCGGAGAGGACCAACCTGCCGCCACACAAATGTCTTCCAAGAGGGCCCCTCTAAAGAGAGCTTGAGAGGAAGCCACACTTCTGGAGGAATGTGCTCTGATGCTAAGAGGTGAAGGCAAACCACGCACCTCGTAAGCCAGCGAAATAGCGTCCGTTACCCAGTGGGAAATCCTCTGCTTTGATGCTGCAAGCCCGCGGCGGCCAGCACCAAAACATACCAAGAGCTGGTTTGATTTCCTCCAACCGCCTGAGCGATCTACATACAACTTCAAAGAACGGACCGGGCAGAGCAAGTTAAGTTTCCTTTCTTCCTCAGAGGCAAAAGGAGGAGGGTGGAAAGCGTTAAGGTTAACAACCTGAGAGCGGAACGCTGTGGAAAGAACCTTGGGTACATACCCCGACCTCGGCCTCAAGGTAACCCTAACCAGGCCAGGAGCGAAGTCCAAGCATGACTCACTAATAGAGAGAGCCTGCAAATCCCCCATCCGCTTTAGTGAAGATAAAGCTAACAAAAGAGCAACCTTAAGAGTCGGAATCCGCTCAGGGGCTGACTCCAAGGGCTCGAAGGGAGCCTCTGTCAAACCCTCCAGGACGACTGACAGGTCCCACGAGGGAACACTAGGGGGGCGAGCCGGTTTCAGGCGCCTAACCCCACGCATGAAGGCCGAAACTAACCTCAGTTTCCCCAAGGGAATCTCATCTGATTCTCTATGAGCGGCAATAGCTGCGACATATACTCAGAGAGTGGTAGCGGCCGCTCCGAAAGCAAGGAATTCCAGCACTGAGCCTACTCGGCAGATAACTGGGTTCCTATCATGTGCTAAGCACCATGCCTCGAACACCCTCCACTTGGAGGAATATAGCCTCCTCGTCGAAGGGGCTCTAGCATTCGCAATGGTCTCCTGAACGTCGGTTGGGAGATCAAAGCTTAAAGCTAACGACCTCTGATAGGCCAAACGTACAGCTTCCAAATGTCGGGGCGAGGATGCCATATCCTGCTCTGAAGCTGGGAAAGCAGGTCCTCCCTGACCGGTATCTCCCAGGGGGAGGATTCCAACAGAGGGATCAGCTCCGAAAACCATGGCTGGGACGGCCAGAATGGGGCTACCAGAAGGAGGCGGACTCCGCTCTCCCTCTCTCTGGACAGAACCGCCTGGATCAGCTTGATGGGCGGGAAGGCATAGAGTTTCTGCATCGGCCAAGGGTGGGCGAACGCATCTATCCCCAACGGAGCTGGAGGGCTCAGAGAGAACCAAAGCGGGCATTGGGACGACTCCTGAGATGCAAAGAGGTCCACTTCCGCTTTCCCGAACACCTCCCAGATCAGGGCCACCGTCTGGCGGTTCAACATCCATTCCCCAGACCTGAGCTTCTGCCTCGACAGAAAATCTGCTGCGAGGTTCAGAATCCCTGGGACATGAACTGCTCTCAGAGAGAGGAACTTGTCCTGGGACCACAGGAGAAGGTGCTGTCTAGGGTGCGCGATCGTGAACCCCCCTGTCTGTTTACATGGGACACTACTGCCATATTGTCCGTTCTGACAATGACATGGTGTCCTTCGAGGAAAGGGAGAAAGTGGCAAAGAGCCAGGAAGACAGCCCTCAGCTCCAAGCTGTTTATGTGCCACGAGAGGTTCTCGCCAGTCCAAACCCCACACACTGGCCTGCCCTTGAAAACCGCTCCCCAGCCGGTCAGAGAGGCATCTGTCGTAACCATCTGGCGACGGAATACCGCACCCATACCGACTCCTTTCTGAAGGAAGAGGGGGTCCCGCCAGATTGACAGGGCGCGAAAGCAACCCCGTGGGCCGAGCCCCTGAGAGCTTCATCCACAACAGAAAAGGTCTCATGTGGAGTAGCCCCAGAGGTAGCACAGGGGAGGCCGTGGCCATAAGGCCCAGAAGTCTGCGGCAGGTGCTCACGGAAACATGCTGGCCTAGTGCAAAACGGGACAGACATGTCACCAGACTGGAAATCCGTGCAGGAGCCAAACGGGCCTGCATAAGAACGGAGTCCATGCGTACCCCCAAGAAAACCGTGTTCTGAGCTGGAGTAAGAACGCTCTTCTCCGTATTCAACCTCAAACCGAGAGACTGAATATGACGGAGGACAATGTCCCTGTGGTGAGTCACCAACTCTCTGGAGTGGGCTAAAAGTAGCCAATCGCCCAGGTAGTTGAGTATATGGATGCCCTGGAGCCGCAGCGGGGCCAGAGCAGCATCCATACACTTTGTGAACGTCCTTGGCGCTAGAGCGAGGCCAAAGGGGAGGACCCTGTACTGGTACGCTTTTTCTCCAAAGGCGAACCTGAGGAACTTCCTGTGTCGCTGTACGACCTGGATGTGGAAATAAGCATCCTTGAGGTCTAGGTCTAGGTCCAGTCCCCCAGCCGGATATGAGATATGATGGCCTTCAGCGTCAACATTTTGAATTTTCCTTTATAAAGGGAGAAATTCAACCGACGAAGATCTAGTATCGGCCGCAGGCCGCCCCCCTTCTTTGGGACCCGGAAAAGTAACGGCTGTAGAAGCCCTGTTCGACTTCCCCCGAAGGAATCTCTTCTATCGCCCCCTTCAGCAGAAGGGATGAAATCTCCTGCTGTAGTACAGAAGCCTGAGCGGCGCTGTCGACTACAGTAGGAAAGACCCCGTTGAAGCAGGGGGGGGGTTGCGACAAAACTGAAGCGTGTAGCCGAGCCGAACTGTGCGACGGATCCAAGGCGATACCCCTGGTAAACGCTCCCATTCTTGAACGAAATGTGATAGAGGGAGAGGAGTGTTGCAGTGCAAGGGACATACCTGAGGTAGGGTGTCGCGCTGGTTCCCATGGGGAGGCGCGGTTGACCGTGGAGGAGAGCGCTTGGCGTCCTGACACGTACTGGGGGGTACCACCACCTGGATAGAAGTAACTGGGTCCGCCTGCTCCAGAGGAAAACGAACTGTGCCTCCGAGGAAGTGATTGGCGGGTGTAACGTGCACCGGGAGCGAGGGGAGAAAGCAAGACGCGTCTCCTTCCTCCTGCGCCGGACTGGGTGAAGAGAGTGAAACAGGACCTGCACTTCGAAACACGCTGGGTGGCGAAGGTGACAGGGTTGGATGAGGAGAGCCGGCTGGAGGAGGGCAGAAACGCTTGCGCGGTCTGTCCCAACCTCTTAGATCTGGTGAGGCTCTCCTCCTTCTGACCTGCGGGTCAGGAACGGCTCGAGGAGGCTGGAGCGGCCGATTTGTTGGACCGCTTCAGCTGAAGGCGCTTGTGAGGGCGCTGGCGGGGAAATGGACGACCTCGGGCTCCCCAGACCGTAGTTGGTGGGTGGTGAGCCGGGTCACTCCTGCTAGTAGGGAATTCAGCCCTATGAGCAGAGCGTTCTCGGGTTTGAGAAAGGGGAGGGTTGGAGTCTCTTGGCCCTCTGACCCTCCTGGGCATAAACTGCCTGAACGCGGCCGACTGAGACTTAGCGGCGCGGAACTTCTCAACCACCTTGTTTTTGCAGCCTCCCCGAAAAGACCTGAGTGGGAGATAGGGGGATCCAGGAGGAAACTCTTATCCTTGTCTCGGATCTCCGTGAGATTCAACCAGAGGTGGCGCTCTGCAGCAACCGAGCCCGCCATAGAGCGACCTACAGCCCGAGCAGTGTGTTTGGTGGCTCTTAGGGCCAGATCTGTGGCTTTGCGAAGCTCTTTGACAGCTTCGGGCGTCAGTCCCTCTCCTTCATCCATGTCCTTCAAGACGTCCGCTTGGTAGGCTTGAAGGATGGCCATGGTATGCAGGGCCATGCCTGCTTGCCATGTAAGACTTCCCAATAAGAGAGGAAGTAGTCCTACAAGCCTTGGAAGGAAGAAGGGGACGCGCCTTCCAGGACGGTGCAGACGACGGGGCGAGGTGGTTAGCCAGCGTGTCCTCGACTGCTGGAATAGCGGAATAACCCTGCTCCACAAAACCCACAAGGTTGGTGAAGTCAGCGGCTGCCGCATTAGTTAGGCGTAGTTAAGCGGAGAAAGGCTGCTTCCAGGATCTGGAGATCTCGTGATGCAGATCGCTGAAAAAGGGCAGCTTTCTTCGCTCTGGCCTAGAATTAGGGCCACGTAGGAACCTCTCATCGAGTTTGGACGATTGAGACTCGCGGGGCTCATCAGGCCAGTCAATAGAGAGCTTCTCTGTAGCGCGCGACAGCACGTCAATAAGCTCAGTGTAGGCCGGAGTAGGCCGCGCGTCCTGGCCGCTAGGCGGGATAACGTCATCAGCCAAAGCAGACCCGAAATCCTCGGAGTCGGAGGCTGCAGTGTAAATCACGTCATCCAGACCGAAAGAAACCGATTCGCGGGCTCCCGGGCTGGGGCATAAATAATCATGCGCGAATTCAACCGCGCCGCGTGCGTGCTCGGGAGAGGGAGGGAGAGAAAGGGCGAGGCCCGTCTGCTCATACTCAATATCCTCAAGCTCAACATCCGAGCCCCAGGCCGCGGATCCACGAGAGGCCTCAGCAGTCTCGGGAGCGCGACGGGGGGGAACGAATGACTCCTTCTCAAAAACCGCGAGTCTAGAGCGGAGGGTTTTGAGAAGGAGATTGTCACAAAATTTACATTTTGACAATCCTAATACAGCCTCACGCGCATACATACAAACCCATACATTTAACACACTTACTGTGAGGGTCGTCGTTCGAGATAAAACGAACGCATGGCGGAGAGCAGCGTCGATAATCCATGACACTTCACTGTAAGGAGAACAGAGTTCCACTTATACCAGTCGCTGAAGTGTAGAGACGTGTCGAACTGTTGGATTTACTGGAGTGAAATATACTCCGGGATATTGGTTTATTTCGAGTCAGAGGGACTGTCAGGCATGTCTGAAAGTGAGTAACTTTAGTAACTTGTGTATCAGCACTGACGCAAGACGCGAACTGTTTCGAACGATTCAGTCCGATTTAGTGTACTGGTTCGACCGGTTCACTAAAAAGAACCGGTTCAAAAGAACGATTCGTTCACGAACCGGCCATCACTAAGAGAGAGAGAGAGAGAGAGAGAGAGAGAGAGAGCATCGGCCGCGCGCGCGCACTCTCACGTCTTCAAACAACACGAGCGCTGTCTTGCTCTCTCTCCCTCGCGCATATTAATCAAAATCAATTGACGCGATAGTAAAAGGTCGGAAGACCGGTTTCACGGGGAGCATTTGGAGATTTTTTTGAGATTAGAGACAGGCCTATACACTCAATAAACAACATCTCAACACTAAATTATAAAGGCCTGACTCATATAGACGCCTGTCTCAAATACAAGCCGGTGCAGTTCGACGATTTGGGAAAATAAAAGCCCGGGCTACTATTTGAAGTTTTACGGTATGTTTATTATGCAACATATCTTCTTTTGTGTTCAGCAAAAGAAAGAAACTCATGCAGGTTTGAAACAACTTGAGGGCGAGTAAATAAATTTTGAAGTGAACTTCCTTTAAGAAGCACTAATTACATTTGACCAGATTCCAGAGTTTGAAGTGGGAAGTACAGTGGTTTCATCTAACGGTGTTGTGCCACTGGAACTCGTGTGGATGAAGTCTGATGTTTCTGCAGGATACGAGGGTCGAGTGGGAATGGCTGCTGTTGTCCTGAAGGATGATCATGGATTGGATGGAGAGAGACTCTACAGTCATCTGATCCACACACTCCCTCCGTACGCATGGCCGTGGTTTCTAAGAGTTCAGGTATCTCTCTCTCTCTCTCTCTCTCTCTCTCTCTCTCTCTCTCTCTCTCTCTCTCTCTCTCTCTCTCTCTCTCTCTCTCTCTCTCTCTCTCTCTCTCTCTCTCTCTCTCTCTCTCTCTCTCTCTCTCTCTGGGCTGTTTGTCTGAAAACTTCATGATTATTATATTTTCTCATCAGTGGTTGAAGCAGAAGTTGACGTGTCAGCCCACTTAAGTCAAATTTATTTATATAGCCTAGTACAGCGGTTTTCAATAGGTGAGGCGCGCCTCCCCAGGGGGGCGCCAAAGAGCGACAGGGGAGGCGCGACACGCGAAGAAAAATTAACTGTATGCATTTCTTGAGCTCTGTTAATATCGGCTGTGAGGAAAAAAAAGATTTTTTGGGGGGAACTTGCATGCGGTTTAATATTTTCGAGTCAATTAATTTCACCTACCAATCATATGAGAGAAACGCAGCTCTAACACGTTACAAGCCTATCAGAAGCAGAGCGGGTCCAGGCAACACAGTATGATTGAGATCCATACGTCAGCGTCGTCGGTGAAAGCATGGAGCGCGAGTAAAAAAAAATAAAAAATTGGAGCGCAAGTTCATGAAGCCTGGGGATGAAGTCCTACCCACGGGCGTAATTTCTTATGCGGACAGGGGGGACATGTCCCCCTACACTTTTCAAGATCCCGTTTGTGTCGTTTGGAAAGAAAGAAATATCTGAGAGACCGTTTTAAGGCAAATAAATGGAAATTTTATAATTATATAGAGTTGACACTGCGTAAGAGAGACCAAGTGTGTCCGAGCATTAGTAAATTGGTCCATAGTAATATATAATTACTATATAAGAGAAGAGGCATGGTTCGTTCGAGCAAGTTCGATAAATGGACAATAATATGTTGTCCAAGCCGATCTACTGTGCATGCGTGGTACGCGTTCACCGAGCGGACCTCAGCAGACAGTAATACAAGTAGTGCGCGCCCGTGCTGTCCGCGGCTGTCTATGTACGCGTCCAAACTGGAGTATATTTTGTGCTTCACACACACACACACACGACGCACAGAAAGACACGCGCCAGTATCGAGTTATCTTTCGCGCTTGAACGAAAAATAACACAGACATTTAGGCTATGCCAAAATGTCCGTTTTGTCGAGTATCTTCACAAGAACAGTCTTAAATGAGTTAAATACAATCTTAAATGAAAGTAAAGAGTAGTGAGAGAATGAGATGCGTGAGATCCTGTCAGCAGGTCTTAAAGTGACAGTAGCCACTAATTCTCTCTGTCAGTAAAGTTAACGAAAGAACAAAGAGAACAGAGAAAATTACTCACTACTCTTGAGTAAGGAACGCTTATAGCTTTAATAACGATTAATCTATATTTCATTTATAATTTATGCAGTACGGACTGTTTTATAACCTTATTCAATTTCTGTATATTTCATACCTGTTAGACAGGAAAGGTACAGGCAAATATGACATTTATTATGGGTTCAAGTGAGGATTGTTTTAGGTTAACTTAAATTAAAAGTTGTTATATTTTTTGAAGCTTAAAGGGTAAGTTCGGTATTTTACAATTAAAGCCCTGTTTTAAGATCGTTTCTAAAGAAATCGAACGGTTAAGATTAAAGTTTGGACACATGCTGCTGTCCCGAGAATTTTAGGTTTATTTGGTAGCTCCCCCAACCTCTACATTGCTTTCATAGGTGCATATGAAAGAATCATTCATAAAACGCATATAATAAAATACCGAACTTACCCTTTAATGTACGGAGCAAAAATAATTTTCATGGAGACTTCATAGCTATATTAATATCAGTGATACTGGACCTTCATTCATAAAAAGATGCCATTAACATACAGCCATAATACTTGAAAATAAATCCATTGAAGATAAGTCCGTCTGTGCAGTTTCTCTCCAATCGGCTTTGGCGCCGATTACATGTTAAGCATGTTTTGTTGACTTGTGGTTAGCATGGTGGTTAGGCCTACTGACGTTCAGTGATTTTAAAAGTAGCCTCAATTAGGCCTGCATGAAGTTGGAAATGATTTGCTGTTGCAAAGAATCGTTTATGAATGCACTTTAAAAAAAGTTGTGGAAATAAAATGTCTTCAAATACAATATTAAAAAATATTTACATTTTATCTGTTTTTATTGAAACTCTTCATTGCCTGGAACACACAAAAGATGGCATTTACTGCAGAGGCGTGTGGGGGTTAGGGCAGGCGGACAGGGTTTTTGGGGAAGGGGGGGCTCGGCTGTCCTTACCTACTGTAAGGGGAGGCTCACATTCACCCAATTTGAAAACCCCTGGCCTAGTACTTTTCACAATAAACATAGTTTCAAAGCAGCTTTACTGAAAATCATGATGGCAGATTAGAGCTGGCCGATAATACTTTACATTTTGTGATTTACGAGTGTCGATGGAGACTGGAAAAAATCCTTCACACAAGCAATCAAGCTGTTGAGATTTGCTATAGTATACGTCACCGGATATGAGTATACAAAGTGTTACAAAGGCCCTGTTTCCATCTGGTACAAACATGAATCTTAAAGTCTTCTGTGACCACTTGAGGTCAGAAAATGTATTTACCGTTGATCACCAATTGAAACAATCTGTATTGTAAAAAGCGCTATATAAATAAAGGTGACTTGACTTGACCAAAGCCAGGATGGATGCAGGACAGGACACATCGTTTTTTAATTACTCAGGACGTCTAACTACTTATATTGACTATGTTAAACTGGGATATGCAAGGAATAATTGACTTTGTTTTTTAAAAGTTAATATACAGCTCAGTTAATGGACCCACTCAACAGTGAAATATTTTTCAATAACTCTGCTGTCTGGAGTCAGTTATACCACAGTTAGCACGTCATTTACACATTTAGGTTTTCATCTTGCTTATACACAGCTGAAGTTATTCTGCAAGAGTCACCAAGCCTCTGTTGTGATTTCCAAAGAATCGACTGGCAATGGACACTTCTACCATGTGAGAGTCATTTCTTTGACATTTTACATTGTCATTCAGCTAGTCGTTTTTAACAGGATTTCCTGGTGAAGAACTTTTGCAGAGAATCGAAACAAACAAATAATGCAACAGTCGGCTTCAGGAACTGAAAACTGGGCAATAAAAGTAAAAAGAGGGCAAACGTTTTTGTAACGATAACTTGTAAACCTCTGAAGACAGGCCTGTTGTGAGGCTCATGTTGTCAATCGATGCTGTGTTTTTGTTATAGATGCCCATTTGAATGATTTAAAATTATAAAAAAATACTGTCATGAAGCGAATGACTTAATCCAAATGAGTCTTCCTACGCTCTCAAAAAACGTAAATATTTGTTTGTACATGCATGTTGTGTAATAACAAGTATTGTTTCTATAGATATAATCCACTTTATATAAACAGTTGTATATTTCTGCTTAGTTTTTAATTCGATTTTGTTACCCCCAATGCTTCATGGGATTGTAGTTGTTTCCCTCACTAAAGCTGATTTTCAAATGCTTTTTTGCTTCAAATAAAACTGTAATGTTGTGATTCAGCTCGTTGCTGGTTGGCTTGGTTCGTGGCTTATAACTCTTTATCGAAGACTTTTTAAAAATCCCCATGGGAAAGACTGTAGGAAGAAATACTTCTGGAAAAAGTGGACTGGCCAATGCTAATGCACTACAGCAGGGGCGTAGCAACCGGGGGGGGGGGCGGGGGGGACACGTCCCCCCCACTTTTAGAAACAGGTGATTCTGTCCCCCGCATTTTTTTTTACTCAGCGCCAATATTTCCGCCCGTGTTCTCTGATTTGTCACTTAGACTTGAGTGAGCTAACATTCAGCCAATCACAGCGCGAAGCATCTATTGGGCGCGTCTGCCATGAGCTTCAAATCTTTTGTTGCTCTTGCGAATTTTCGTGTTTGTTTAGTCTCTTTGCTGTTTGGCCGTCTAATGCACCCCAGAAAAAAAGCAGAGGACTACATCATTTTTTTCAAACACACACTGTTACAGTATGTCGGGATGACATGAATCACAAGTTTCCTTGTTATGATTTAACCTACTGTAACGCAGTAAAGGCCAATTTATACTTCTGCGTCGGGTGCGCGCAGTAGGTACGGCGTAGCATACGCACAGACGCGTACCATACGCCGTACCCTTCGCCGTAACCTGACGCGCACCTCAAAAATGTAACTACACGTCGCGACGACGCGGACCGCAAGATCTGTGATTGGTCGGCTTGGTAGCATCGCGTTTCCTCCTATGCATTTCCGGCGTGTTCTTCTGCACCGCCCGCCATTTTTAAATTCTAAGTACAGCGAAACTGTTAAAAAAATACTTAAAATGTACCTTTTCCACCTCGATAAGCTCCAACTCCAACATGATCTGCTCTCTTTCAGTCGCCATTGCTTGTAGTAACCTAAACTCAAAACAGCCGCGAGGAATCTTCTTCTTCTTGCCGCGAGGAATCTAAACACAGTGGAACATTAAAACCCTCCGCCGCCAACTAGCGTTTCGGCGCTGTACTGCAGAGCAACGCAGACCTAAACGCAGAAGTATAAATGCTCATGACGGCGTCGCCTACGTGCGTAGCCCACGCCGTACACTACGGCGTACACTCGACGCAGAAGTATAAATTGGCCTTAAGACGTGTAAGACAACAGAACCCGTATGGACCTCGTCGCGCCGGATTGTGCCGAGTGTGTGTTAAATGCTCTCCTACTTGTTGCTTTGGATAAAAGCGTCTGTTAAATGAGACATAACAGATTATTCCCAGCAGGCACACAACGTCATAAGACGTTGATATTTGGTTAAATTTTGGTTGCGACGTCGGGTGACCAAAATTCAATGTAAATTCAACAAGTCAATGTTAAATTGATGTCCAATACCGAATACATTGATTTAGGTTTTATTGATATATTTTTATAAAATGTTTATAAAATGCAATATTTTTTTATTTCGAGTATGATTTCACAAAAATAGGTTGCGGTAAACTATCATGGCATGTTCCCAAAATTGGCACTAGGGTGCTGTAAAATGCCAATTGCTATTCCATCTAGAATTTATTATTATGAACATCACCTTTCAGTCCCTCCAGAAAAACGCGATTATGCAATCGCATGATTCAATAATCAGCCAAATATTTATATATTTATGCAGGGGCATTTTTTCAAATACGCCGCACTTTTGCCGTATAAATTGCCGATTTCCACGCAAAATATGCGGGGCTTGTATGATTTCATAATCCCCGCATTTTTGTTGCAAAAAAAAGTCACATATATCTTAGCAGAAAGTTGAAAAATGTTGCGTTTGCTTCACACGAGAGCAGCCGTTTCCCCCGGTTGCCATGGGAACGTTATGAAGTGACATAATTACGCGACATGAACATCATTGAAAAAAAAAAATGGAAAAAAAAGCTGTAAAACAGGAAACATTTTTTTCATATTTTATTTATTCATTTTTACAGAAGTTGTAGCATATTCCTTTTGTAAAGCTACAGAACTTGTTTGACTCATCAATGTTTTGTAAGTTTGAGCCATGCGTTTATTAAGGTCTGAAATAAAACAAGATTAAATATTCCAGCACTTTCTGTGATGTAGTATGTTTGCTTATCATAGGAAGTAATAAGAAATAGCTCTTTACATTAAGGCAGTAGCCTAGTGAGAACAGGGTGTTGGGGAATCACTTTTTCTCTCTTTTTCATCAAACCGCAGTTTTTGCAAGTTCCCGCAATTTCATCACATAAAATTGCAAATATCCTGCATATTCCATCGCCGCATAATCACGGATTTTTGCCCGCAACAATCACAAAAAAACTCTGCATTTTTCTGGAAGGACTGACCTTTGGGTCACATCACCACACCATTTTGTCCCCCCCACTTTTATAATGGCTGCTACGCCCCTGCACTACAGTATAAGAGCATCTTTAACAACGACATGCATCAGCAAATCCAATAGAGTTCATTGGAATAGCGCTCGTCACAGTGGATCCAAATCTGTGTTGTGAGAACAGAATAGTGCAGCCCTGAGCGATGTACGACTCGTGTTCCTGGAAGAACACGTGTGCTTTTACACATGCAAACATTGCCCTGAGTCTTTATGTGCTTTTCCTGCTTTTGTCCCGCAGACTTCCTTAGACATGACGGACACGTTCAAGCAGCAGAAGGGAAGACTGGTCCAGCAGGGCTTCAGTCCTCACACAGTCCAGCAGCCGCTCTACTTCCTGGACGCTTCGCAGAGAACCTACACCCCCCTCACTGCACACACGTATCAACACATCGTATCAGGCAAGAAGAGACTGTAGATGCATTGTGGGAAATGCAGTGAGCCGTGAAACTAGATCTACCACACCACTAGATGACATGTGGAAGTGGGTTTACTCCAGTGTATCACAGCGGTCAGCCTTTTATCAATTGTTTGTGAGTTTTTAGTGTTCTGGTTATAAACCAGTAGGTGTCTGTTGGGTACCGAGCCCAGATATACTGGAGTGATTTTAAGATTTATTAACATCAATAAAGAAAACAAATTAATACTATAGTCAGTTACAAGCTGAGTGAAGTGGTTAGAAAGGATTGTTCACTTGTCTTATTAACAGTAAAGCACAAAAAAGGGTTTTACGTGTATTAATGTATAATAATCTAACATCAGTTTATGAGTATTATCTGCTCTTGTTCTATTTCAAACACATGTCTGATATGTTTGTTACAGCAGGACTTCTATAAGTGGATTCTATGAATTGGTTTTATAACCTCAATAAACAAGCAAACGTGCCTTTTCATTTATATGCAACAATGTAAATAATTAAATGAAATGTAATTGGACAGTATATGATTTTTTTTTTATATTGTATTTGTAGCTTTAATCATGTCCACCTTCCAGTTCAAGGCCAGTTCATACTGTCTGTTGTGTGTTTGCTTGTGTAGTGCCGGACACTGGAAAACCTCATGGATTGTTCTGGCATGTATGACAAAGTGTAATTGTTATTAATTTGTTAGCATCTCACTTACATAATAATAAAGTTAACTTTTTTTATCGTTCACTTGCTTGGATTTAATAAAGTTGGCATGCTTTGTTTCTGTGTCTCCATGCTGCTATACGAAACTCTTAGATCATGATGATTGCATGACGACCACAGGGGGGCAGTGATAACCTCACACATCGTGTACAAATGTTGCATAAACAGGAATGTGATATTTAATAAAGAATTAAGAACATATCGCGCGCGCCCGTGTGTGTGTAGGCATATTGCTGAATATTATGTAATTCATATGCAATGAACAGAAGACAATTGTTTAAACTGAATTAAATACATTTTTAACAATTAACGTATTGAATAGATTTATTTATTAAATGTACAGGCCACATGAAAACAAACATTTTGAACAGGTCATCCATCTGTCCCGATGACTGTTTTATCGTCATTAAATGCTAGTTAACACCAATAACTATATAAAGACAGATAAATCGTCTACACCAGCGCCAGCGGACGATATTGTTTAGTTTATTCTAAGCCAGCTCGCAGTTTCCTCTGTCGCTCTGCTCGTGCCATGTAAGCAGGATGGATTTTGATGGGCTGTCAATGTTTATCGTTCATCATCAGTGCCATTATCGTTATGGTTGTGGTGTGTTCTATACTTTTACATGTAAAACGATTTTTGTAATGCTCAACATAATAACAGCAAAATGGTAATATGTTTTTGATCGAAAGTGGTGACCCTGAAGTCGTCGGGTAAACTTTAGCGATGAGAGACTACGTTAAATGTATTTAGTGTGTTCTCATTTGCTCAAATAGCAAAATAAAACTCCACAATAGTGTTATCACAACTTTCAAAAAGAGTTAAAAAAGAGAGATTGATAACGGCAGTCAGAAGAGAAGATGTCGACTTTAGGTCACTCCCCGCGCTCGCTTTTTTTTTTTTTTTGTAATTTGATGCAAATGTAATATAATACTATTAAGTATCGTGTTATAAATGTACATACATCTGAAAAATGAAAATATAAAAAAAAAACATCCAGTATATGCTGACCGTTAAATGATTTGTTTACAGTCTATGATTAAAACGCGTCATCAGTCTGAAAAGGTCCATCGCCTCATGTCGAGGAATTTACATGACAATTTGAGATGATTTTCATCCACACATTTTCTCACGTCTCCTCAGGTTTAGCGCGTGAATTGCAGACAGTCCAGCCCAGGTCATCAGTCGTGTTATTCTATAGGTAGACCGGTGGTGGCGTCACGACTTTATTAATCAAAACGTGTAGATCTTCCTTCATCCTCTCCTCCACAAGCTGCTCTCCTTCTCTTCAGTTCAGCTCTTTATCTTACAGCTTTACATTTTAAGTTAAAAAACTAACAAAACAAAAACAGGATCTGTTATGATTTTCCATTCATCTCCTAGACTAACTGACTGTAAAGTTTCACTGGATCTATCATGACATCTCAAGGGGATCTGAGGTGTTTAGTTGGATTTATAGCTCTACTGGGGGTTTTAATGGGGGAAATCTCAGGAATTCATGGAAAAGAGACTGTTCATATGGATGGATCCCAGAGACGGGGAAAACAAGAGTCACTGAGAGGGTGAGTCTTACACACACATCCAAACTAAGACTGCTTTTATTAGTTTAAGGCTGTGATATGTGGGCTGTATTACAAAAGCATGTGTCATATGAACAGTTTCACTGTGAACTCTTAGACAAGCTCTATAATTGTTTGTGTGTGCAGATTTATTCCACTCTTTGTCTAAAAGCTTTCCCTTTACATGTATTATGCAGGTGAATTTGATCTTGAAGCTCATCATCATTGTGTTTTGCAGACCTAATGTGTGTGGATCTCGTCTGCAGTCCTACTGTTGTCCAGGCTGGAAGACTCTGCCCGGGGGGAACCAGTGTGTTGTGCGTAAGTGAGGGTACAGATGTTCCTCACACACTAGGTTATTCAATGAGTGTGCTCTTGAATTGCCTTACGTTTTAGATGTAATCTGATAAAGAAATTCTAGGAAATAATGAATTAATGCTTGTTTTATGCCTTGTAGAAATTCTTAGAAACAAATCTGATAGCAGGGATTGTCAGTATAGTTAACGTTAATTTACAGTTCTACTGTTATTTACACAGTATGTTAAATCATGTCATTTGGGGAAACTGATTACCTTGAACAATTTATGTTTAAAAACTAATATTTATACAATGTTAGTTCTTTCTTTTGAGTCCTTCAAACAAGAATATTTCCTGATATTAAAATAAACTGCAAACACTGCTAAAATACTTCACCCAAATTAGTTAAGGATTAGTTCACACAAAAATGAAAATTCTGTAATTTATTACTCACCCTCATGTCGTTCCAAACCTGTAAGAGTTTCGTTCATCTTCGGAACACAAACGAAGATCTTTTTGATGAAATCTTAGAGCTTTCTGTCCCTCTATTGACAGTCTACGCAGCTACCACTTTGACTTTTATTCACATATAAACATTCATCAACTCGTACATCAGTTGTGGTAAATGGAAGCTCAAGCATGTTCGCTTGACATGTGAGAACCAATGAGGTTCATTCTCGTGTTAAGCAGCACGTTTGAGCTTCAGCAAGAACCAATGAGGTTCATTCTCGTGTTACGCAGCACGTTTGAGCTTCAGCAAGAACCAATGAGGTTCATTCTCGTGTTACGCAGCACGTTTGAGTTTCAGCAAGAACCAATGAGGTTCATTCTCGTGTTACGCAGCACGTTTGAGCTTCAGCAAGAACCAATGAGGTTCATCCTTGTGTTAAGCAGCACGTTTGAGCTTCAGCAAGAACCAATGAGGTTCATTCTCATGTTACGCAGCACGTTTGATCTTCAGCAAGAACCAATGAGGTTCATTCTCGTGTTACGCAGCACGTTTGATCTTCAGCAAGAACCAATGAGGTTCATTCTCGTGTTACGCAGCACGTTTGATCTTCAGCAAGAACCAATGAGTTTCATTCTCGTGTTACGCAGCACGTTTGAGTTTCATCAAGAACCAATGAGGTTCATTCTCGTGTTACGCAGCACGTTTGAGTTTCATCAAGAACCAATGAGGTTCATCCTTGTGTTAAGCAGCACGTTTGAGCTTCAGCAAGAACCAATGAGGTTCATTCTCGTGTTACGCAGCACGTTTGAGCTTCAGCAAGAACCAATGAGGTTCATTCTCGTGTTAAGCAGCACGTTTGAGCTTCAGCAAGAACCAATGAGGTTCATTCTCGTGTTAAGCAGCACGTTTGAGCTTCTGCAAGAACCAATGAGGTTCATCCTTGTGTTACACAGCACGTTTGAGATTCTGCAAGAACCAATGAGGTTCATTCTCGTGTTACGCAGCACGTTTGAGTTTCATCAAGAACCAATGAGGTTCATTCTCATGTTACGCAGCACGTTTGAGCTTCAGCAAGAACCAATGAGGTTCATTCTCATGTTACGCAGCACGTTTGAGCTTCTGCAAGAACCAATGAGGTTCATTCTCGTGTTACGCAGCACGTTTGAGCTTCAGCAAGAACCAATGAGGTTCATTCTCATGTTACGCAGCACGTTTGAGCTTCAGCAAGAACCAATGAGGTTCATTCTCGTGTTACGCAGCACGTTTGAGTTTCATCAAGAACCAATGAGGTTCATTCTCGTGTTAAGCAGCACGTTTGAGTTTCAGCAAGAACCAATGAAGTTCATCCTTGTGTTACGCAGCACGTTTGAGCTTCAGCAAGAACCAATGAGGTTCATTCTCGTGTTAAGCAGCACGTTTGAGTTTCAGCAAGAACCAATGAGGTTCATTCTCGTGTTAAGCAGCACGTTTGAGTTTCAGCAAGAACCAATGAGGTTCATTCTCGTGTTACGCAGCACGTTTGATCTTCAGCAAGAACCAATGAGGTTCATTCTCGTGTTACGCAGCACGTTTGAGCTTCAGCAAGAACCAATGAGGTTCACTCTCGTGTTACGCAGCACGTTTGAGCTTCAGCAAGAACCAATGAGGTTCATTCTCGTGTTACGCAGCACGTTTGATCTTCAGCAAGAACCAATGAGGTTCATTCTCGTGTTACGCAGCACGTTTGAGCTTCAGCAAGAACCAATGAGGTTCATTCTCGTGTTACGCAGCACGTTTGAGCTTCCGCAAGAACCAATGAGGTTCATTCTCGTGTTAAGCAGCACGTTTGAGTTTCAGCAAGAACCAATGAGGTTCATTCTCGTGTTAAGCAGCACGTTTGAGTTTCATCAAGAACCAATGAGGTTCATTCTCGTGTTACGCAGCACGTTTGATCTTCAGCAAGAACCAATGAGGTTCATTCTCGTGTTACGCAGCACGTTTGAGCTTCAGCAAGAACCAATGAGGTTCA